AAACCTTTTAAAACCATTGTAAATCATTTTATAACATTTATAAACACTTGTAAATCCCTTTAAACCCCTTATAACCGTGATAAATCATTTAATAAAAACTTTTGTAAACTTCTAAAACCCTTTAAAAACCCTTGTAAATCCTTAAAAATCATTTTAAAGAACTTGTAATACCTTTAAAAACTTTTGTAAACCGTTCAAAAACCTTTGTAAACTTCTAAAACCCTTTAAAACTTCTTGTAAATCCTTTAAAACTATTTTTAAATCTTTGTATGCCTTTAAATACACTTTTAAATCCTTTTAAAAACACTTGTAAATCCTTTTAAAAAACCTTTAAAAATCCTTGTAAATCCTTTTAAAACTGTTATAAACTTATAAAAACCATTGTAAATCATTTAAAAACCATTTAAAAACCTTTGTAGGCTTCTAAAACCCCTTATAAACCATTACAAATCTTTTAAAAACCATTTAAAAACTCTTGTAAATCCCTTTAAAAACCCTTGTAAAACCTTTAAAAGACCCTTTAAAAAATCTTGTAAACCCTTTAAAAAAAATTGGCGGGAAAATTTTGAAAAAATATTTTTTTTTGTGGGAAAATTTTTGCGGAAAATTTTCTCGGAAATTTTTTTGGCGGGAAAATTTTTCTCGGAAACTTTTTTGGCGGGAAAGTTTTTGGATGGAATATTCCTTCCTTTGGGAAAGAATATTCTTTCAAATAGGGGTAAAATGACCATTAAAATGTAAGAGAGGGCACAAATGAAAATGGTCAAAAAAGAGGGTATTTTTAAAAGAGGGTATCATAAAAAGGTTATTGGTATCAATTTCTCAAAAATAAGTCTAAATTAGTTTTTTATATTTATGGTATAAGGGAAAATATTTTTTTTTGTGCTATTTCTGAAAAACAATTATCGTGTTTTAGTGAAAAAAAACTTACAATGTGGTATTTGAGAAAAATGTTCTTAATTTAATATGAATCGATTTCAACAAAAAATAAAATAATATATCTATATATTAAATTTAGTGCATTTGCTACCAGGACAATTTGAACGTTACATTTTCTGTCTTCCAAATTATGATTTTAGTGCATTTGCTACAAGAAAATTTTCGTTTAAAAAAAAAAACAAATTTCTCTCTAGCCTTGGAATTTGGTAACACACAAAAAAAAGAGAGTAAATTGGTGCATGGTATCTTATCGTTTCCAAAATCTTATGGTATTCAACTTTTGTGTTGGTTTGACTGTGTAATCTGTCATTAAGACATAAACACCTTCCCAATTGTGCTATTTTTCTCATAAACTTCTTACTATAATGTACATTAAATTCTATATACATGACTATATAATAAGGTAAGATATAACAAAATCTATTATTTTTCCATCTGGTTAAAATATAATAATATTCCCAATTTGTTATTACAAATCACAACTGATACGCAACAAAACCCTTCCCAGTTGTTTTGTTGCTTCTGTTACGATTTTTTCGCCGTCTTTAAAAACACACAAAATCTTCATATCCTTCTCTCTAACCCCAAAAACCAAAAATGGTGAATGAGCAAAAGAGATTTGCTCTGTTCTTGGCCACAAGCGATTCAACGTTGGTGAAGAAGACGTACGGTGGATATTTCAACGTGTTCGTTTCGAGTTTCGGCGAAGAGGGTGAGCAATGGGATCTGTTCCGAGTGATCGACGGTGAGTTCCCGGAGGATAAGGATCTTGATAAGTACGATGGTTTTGTTATCAGTGGAAGCCTTCATGATGCTTTTGGTGACGATGATTGGATCGTTAAGCTTTGTTCTCTTTGCCAAAAGCTTGATGACATGAAGAAGAAGGTTCTTGGCATTTGCTTCGGCCACCAGGTTCTTGGATCCTACTTATTATTATTAGGGTTTTTGCATTATTAATATTAGGGTTGATGTGAATCTTAATGCAGTTTGAGAACTGTTTGGTTGATGTGCATGTGACATAATATATATATATGTACGTAACGCAATGATTTGTGTTTTATTATATTGTTGAAATGTTTTGTTGATGGAATGATGCATTACAATAGATACTAAGTAGAATCAAAGGAGGGAAGGTAGGAAGGGCGAGTAGTGGTGTGGATATGGGACTAAGAAGCATAACAATGGTTAAAGATGCTGTGAAACCTGGTGTTTACTTTGGAAGCCAGATTCCGAAATCGCTAGCCATTATAAAATGTCACCAAGATGAAGTACTTGAGCTGTCTGAATCAGCTACATTGCTTGCTTATTCAGACAAATGCAATGTTGAGATGTGTTCTTATGGAGATCATTTCCTCTGTATCCAAGGACATCCTGAGTACAACAAAGAGATTCTTTTCGAGATCATTGATCGCGTCGCCAATATGAAGTTGATGGAGGTTTTGTTTCTTATTTTCTTTTGTTTCATGTCTTTCATTGTTTGCTTGTTGGAAGCTTTTTGTAAGGTTTTCTTTTTGTTTGTTTTCTCAGCAAGATTATGCGGATAAGGCAAAGGCAACGATGGAGAGCGCGGAACCAGATCGAAAGCAGTGGCTAACTCTGTGCAAGAACTTTCTCAAAGGAAGATCTGAGCAAGTTTGAGTTATGATGAACCAAAGCTGTGGAATTGGTTGGATGATTTTAAAAACAGTTTTCTATGTAATAAGACGGCTAAGAGTAATCACAAAATAAACCTTTTATATTACAATATTTGGGTGTTACTAGTTTGTATTCACCCAAGTGTAAGTTTAAACAACAACAAAAAAAAAAAATTGGATCTTTGAGTTGAAGTGTTTGTTCTTAGAGATTGTGTACAAGTAAAAGAATTCTTGTGTTTGCGAGATTGGATTACGTTATGGTCAATGATGATCTTCAGCTGAGAAATCTGGTTCTGGAGGTTTCTGAAACTTCACCAATTCTTTAGTAGATGACAACAATGCAGATTTCGCAGTCCGGTTCTTGTGAACGCTACGAAGTGCATTTGCCGCAAACTTTGAAGCCAAGAATGTTGCTCTTATGCTATAAGGACTTCCTCCGGCTATAACCGATGCTGACTCTTCTTCTTCTTCCTCTTCTTTTCTAAGTTGCTCCAGTTTCTTCCTCTTTGTGTACCGTCGCCATGCAGCTTGGATGAAGCAAGCGGCCCATGTCCTCCATTGCTGTGAATAGAATCTGAAAGTGTGTTGCACTTGTCTGCTATGGAGTCTCCTGAACTGGCTCGCCACGAATTTCAGCTCATCGGCTATCAAAGCAAAAGCTTCTACTTCGGTTAAGGCCTTGACGGTTCTTGTTGATGATGGGAGGTTAGAACCGGATTTGGGATCAAGTGCCCATGTCAAAAGTTCGTCACCGCAGAAATCTCCTTCTTTAAGTAAACTGCGGTTGTAGAAACCGCTTCTCCCGCCATCAGTAGTTACACTCTCGAGCCTACCACGGATTATGAAGAGCATCTCATTGACTGGATCTCCCTCACGAACTAAGTAAGACTTCTCAGTGAATAGACATGGCTTAAGCCTCTCACAGATTGCATCTAACAGCCTCTCATCCATATTCTCAAACAATGGAACCTATTGACAAAAAAATGAATTAAAGACTTTTTTAAAACTGATGTTAATGGAGTGAATTAAGACAAGAAAACATACTCTTCTGACTAAGGCAAGACAGAGATGACGTTTGATATCTCTTCTAAGATCCTTGGGGAGGTTCTGAACAAGATTCTCTTCATCAACTCCACGAGTCTCCAACCACTTGTATTGATCATATCGTCTGACCCGTTCCCGCAGTTCTGGTGGAAGCATTCGATGATGCATCCACTGTTCTGAGTCGCGTCTTTTGACTCGCATTTCTTCTAACCGGATGGTGAGCGATTGAAGATACGTCTGTCACAAGTTTGTCAAATACAAATCATTCTTCATACTCATTTGCGAAAATCGTTAACCATTAAAAAACGAACAAGCTCCCTTCTTTACCTGCATGTTTCCAATGAGAAGGGCAAAGAGTAGAAGTCCAGCAATAGCAAGTGTTATAGAGAATATAACTTCTCCAGGGTATGTACTAGTTTCAAGCCCTTGACCAAGTGTACTGCAATGGAGAATCAAAGGTTACTAATGCGAAAAAAGACTTATCGTCGCGCCACTATAAGCAAATCGATTTCTACATATTACCTAAGATTCTGTAACCCCCACCACAAACAGAAGAAGTACTTAGAGACAAAGTTCTTATTTGCAACGATGCCAGAGGAGAGAGCTCTTAAGTAGATTCCAAAATCAAAGGGAGGTTCTTCATCCTCAGGGACATTAACAGGGCAATGAGCCTGAAGAACCGAATCTTTAATCTTGTCCCAAGCAGCATAACCTGGCATATTTTGGTTACCACAAAACAAGAAGTTTCTTGCACATGTCGTGTTATCGTGGCAAGCCTTACTCCAGCAGTCGTTATTGCGTTCTAAGGCAAGCAAATACCACAAAGCCCCAACAATCTGCATACACGCATACACTTATGAGAACATATTGCTTTAACAAACATAAAAGCTGATACAAAAGAATTTGGATACTGACATGACTTGCGAGCATGTAAAGTAGCAAGTAATAAGCTGCACCAGCCCAAGCAGTTTCAGCAAACACGCCGGCTGTTCTCTTCAATTCTGAACTTAAAGGATACATTCGAAGAAAACGTGGAATATATTGAACTAACACGATATATCGAAGTGCTTGTTTAGTTGCTAACACATTTGCACCTTTTGAATTGATAAGAAATCTCCAAACTACAATCTGAGAGAGAGAGAAACAAAAAATGAACATTACCAATATGAATATTAAGAGAAGTCAAAGGTTCTATTCTGTTACTAATACCTGTGGAACAGGAAGCACGGAAAGCAAATCGATGATGAAGTACTGTTGCAGATACCGTTTAGCTATCTGTGCAGGGTCTATAACAAGCTCGCCTCGACCAAAAACCCGCGATGAGGGAGCAACATAAGCTGTTCTAAACCGTAGAGCCATATGAAAGAGATAAAACGAATCTATAACTGTCCTTATCGTAGTCGCTATAATCGCCAGTTTCCGATCAATCCCAACGCATTTCGCTTTATCGTTTATAAAAGGAAGATACAAGAAGAGCGGATCCACGGATACTGCGAGTATACAAGAAGCCACAAACAACTTGTTGCAGAGCAAAAGAAACTTGTCTTGAGGATCAAATATCTTCTTCTCAGATACTTCAAGATCTTCGGGAAATACAGCACGCGAAACCCCGAGCCCAATCGATCTACCTATAGACCAAAGCCCTTCTGAACCTTTTCTAAACCCTTTCTTAAAAGATCCAGATGATGTTTTGCTTCCTTGAGCAAAACGTTTAGGTCCTTGTATATTCAATGTGCATTTGTTTAAACCCGCTTCAGAGCCTTGTGAGTACCTCGAGTCCATACTATCTAACCTGTTTTTACAAGAAAAAGCTAAAAACTTTATTTTTCCATACAGTTTTCTCATTAGAGAGATTCACAGATTGGTTTTTTCAAACCTGACAAACTTCTCGAGTTGGCCACTGATGACTTGAGATTTGACTCTTTTTGAACCACAAGTATCGAACATACCTCTTTCAACTCATGGAATCCTAAAAAACCTGTGCTTTGAGAACAACTTCATCATTATGATGATTGTATAACTAAATCACTAACGAACCCTTTCTAGCTATATAACACTAGAGCAACCTAATTGGAAACAAAGACAAGTTTTTTTTCTAAATCAAGAGATTGGGTTGTGAGAATTAGGTTTCTTGAGCTAATTTAATCATTCAACCCAGAAATAAAAATCGAAACTTTTTTTTTATAAATTAGACAAAACCGAATCCAAATTGGAGCAATTGCAAAGTAGTCTAATCATGTTCAAGAACTGAGATCGGGAAGAAGGTAAAGAAAGAAGAAGGAACTTACACTAACTGTCAAATCTGACGGCGAAGAAGAAGAAACGGAAGAAGCAGAGAGAGCACACAAGTTGTTAAAAATAGAAAAAGAAAAGGAAAAAAAAAAACGGACAAAGGAGAGAAGAGAGAAGTGAAGTTGTGTCTTCTTCTGTCTTCTGTCTTCTGTCATAATTTTGACTTTCTTCTTCGTGCTCTGTCCGGGTCGGGTCCCATCCGTTTCCTCTGCTGTCTTCTTTTATTTCTCTCAATCTTTGAATGTAAATACTAAACTCATTTTTGTAAAACACATTAAAAGAAAAGAAAAAACAAAAGTTTGTATGTGATCATAAGAAAACATTTTTTTTTTGCCATTTTTCATTTTAAGGAGTACAATTTATGATTATTGAGCTTAAATTTTTTTAGAAAGTAATGAGTCTAACAACGAATGGTATATATTTTCAGAGTTTGTAAAAAAAAAATGAATGATTAATTTATATTTGAAGGATGTGTTTTAAATAGAAAATTGTTTGATGAAGTTTATATGTATTAATTAGAGGATTTTTGATATTTTTGAATACCAAATAGAGGACATGTCCTTTAAAAAAAAATATATATATATATATATATATATATATATATATATATATATATAATTGTGATTGAAAATGTAAAACAATCTAAGCTAATATTCGAAAATCAAGATTTTTGGATAGGGTAAAGATAGTGTAATGCCTCGGCTATAAGATTAATCAAAACTTGGGGTTGGATAAGAAGGTTTTTAGTATTAACAATGGATCTCCAAATGTTAGTATTCGAGGAATTCTAATTAAAATTGATTTGCGAAGTGTTGACAAAAAACTAACAAATCGATTTAGATGTAGTTAGCCTATTTGATGTACATAGATGCAATAGATGGATGGTAAAACAACATATAGGATTCTAGTTATAAAATATATTCTCCAGAAAATTGAAGGTATTTTAATTAGTTATGCTAATCTAGAAAAATATTATCCCTCATTATACAAAACCATCGAAGAGAAAATTGCTAGAATTAGCAATTCAAAATAATAATTTTTTTTTTAAGGAATATATTTATTATGTTTTGTAGAACTAAATTATATCTATGAATTATGTTATGAAGAATAAAAAATATTAGAAAATTAATTATCGGCTCATCTTTTGTATTAGAAACTTTAAATCACGGGGTTAGAATAGTATCAGGATTTTGTGTAAAATCATTAAAATAGTGTAAATATTTCAAATAATTTTTTTTCTAAAAGAGAAAATTTGGTGCACTGAATTTTGGAAAAGATGTGTATATATAGTTAATCTAATCCCGGTTATGACAAATGTGTTTGATTCAAAGGTTTGATTGGAGTCATGATCAGATAGCTTAAGAAAATATTATTTTAGTTCAATAAAAACGAGGTCATGTTAAGTTGTTAACTTTGTTATATTAGTTCACACATTTGGTGAAATTATTCGGTTATCACACTGTTTTTTTTTTTTTTTTGTCTTTTCCTTGTTAATTTTTGGCAATCATACGTAACCATTTTTCATTTTTCTATATTACAGAATGATTTAGTAAACTGATATTTTTGTTACTTTGATTAAACGTCGATGAACTAATTTGACTAGTAAATTTACTATTTAAGTTGATTTGATATGACCAATTAGGTGTATTTGCGATTCTAAAAAAGAGCTCTAAAGGTTTAAATAAAAACTCATCACTCGTTAATCTCCTTTTGATTATTTATTTTTCTTATTTTAATATTATCAAAATCATAAAGAACTCTTTGTGGAGATGGTCTTGTTAGTTTATGTAATTGGAGAATGAATTTGTTTTGGCTTTTATGTTTTACAGTTTTAGTATGAATTATATCTATTAGTGGCACTTAAATGATAATTTCTTTTATGATTTGTCATTATCGTTTAAACAATATGTTAGATAAGACTTTACAACAAAGCATAACAATTTCGTAAATTTACCTAAATAATCAAAATCATATAAAATTCATTAGAATTTAAATTATAGAAATATATAGGGTTCAATACGCTCCCGAAAGCCAATACTTCTTTTAAACATTTCAAATATTGGATTTTTAATGTCTTTTCGAATATAACTAGTCTACAAATTAGCTGTTTTTGACAAAAAAATATATATATTTGTTTAAATGGAAATGGGAAAATCTAACCATCGATTATCCCATTTAATACTTCAAGGTATCAATTAGAGCAGACATTGCTACGAAATTAAAAATACTTTTTAAATTTATAGATTAAAATTTTTGATGGGAACAAAATTTTAAATTAAATTATCAGTAATGTCAAATTATGACATAAATTTAGATAAATCATTATTCTCTAAACTAGCCCTGGGCATATAATCCGGATCTGAAAAAACCGATCCGAACCGATCCGAAAAATCCGATTTGGATCGGTTTCGGTTACTATGTAAAAACCGATCGGATTTTATGTTGAACATGATTCGGATTTCGGATTTAAACCGATCCGAACCGAAATCCGATCGGTTATCTGCTAACCCGAATACACATGGTCTAATACATCACATAGTATACATATAATCTCTATGTTTTTGTACTTCAACGCTCAAACTTCTTTTTTACGTCGGATTGTTCGGATTTAGAGTGTAAGTTTCGGATTTATAGTGTAGAATCCAAATCCGAAACCGATCCGAAATATGATTCGGTTTAAACTCGGATTTGTAATAAAATTTGAAAACCGATCCGAATCCGAAAAAATCCGAACCGATCCGATCCGAAAACCAGTCGGATTCAAATCGGATTCTATATATCCCAATCCGAAAAATCCGAACTCCGAATAATCCGATCTGATCCGATCCGAAAATCCGAACGCCCAGGGCTACTCTAAACCATAGATTTTAAAAGCATAACATAAGATTTAAAAAAACCTCAAAAAGGCCTTAAGCAAAAACAAGCCCAAAGACAGATACAAGAGTTAAGGCCCAGAAGATGCCATTTCCAACAACCAAACCACCAGCATGGCTATTGGACGGAGCTGGCGCCGGAGCCTTCATAGAAGTAGATGACTTAGGAGAAGGAGTAGGCGTAACAGCGGCTGGTCCTTGGTTTGGTGGCATGGGCGGGTGGTTAGGTGACTGAACCACGACAGCCACTTTCTCACCTTTAGCACAGTTCATGGTCGGAGCTCCACTTATGAAGTAGTAAGGACCTGAGACATCGAGTTTCACTATTGTGATATTTTCTTTGTATTCTTTCAAAGGCTTCTCCATGTTGCATTTTTCGTAGTTTTCTTTTGTCACTTGTAACACCGAATCGTTCTTGGAATCGTATCTAAACACTGTTACATGTTTAAAATCGTATGTCATGCATTTGTATTTTGTATCAAAAATATATAACTAGAAGAAAGATTCGAAGAACATATTTAGATCTTTACCAAGAGCGTCTCCGACTTGGAACCTCATCGTCTCAGCCCAATGGTTGAGAGTGTTGTTGGTTGATTCTGGAACCTTCCATGCGTCCATTGAGCCGCCCACGTCAAGGAGCCTAGCCTCACCAAAGTGGTAGAATGTGGTAAATAAGAGAAACATTAGGGACATAATGGGAACCAAAGACTCCATTTCTCGTTGGTTCTCTATAGTTCTTTTTCTCTTTGGACGATAAAAATTTTGGTCGTTATGGTTTGGAGCTAAATGGGTTTTATACAAGGTTCAAGAATGAGGTTTTGAGGATCAAACCAGCCAGATTTGGGGTCAAATCTGATACCTTGTATAAAAATGTAATGTAATCTTCCCCAAATAGCAAAGAAATTATGAGTTTCATTATCTGTTGATACATATATTTGTTAATCATATCTTTGAAGTAAATTCTAATATTTTGGAACTAAATCAGGGTTTTAATGCAAAATAATTTGTTTACTTACATAAAAATTAAATTTGAAGTATACTCACAAAAACAAATCATATTATATGTGGCATATGGCCATATGGGTAAATTAATTATCAGATTCTTTGTGTCTGGCTAAAATTTTCTAATATTTATTAATTCCTACTATTGCGATATTAACCTATTGGACGAATTTGGCTAACATGTATAATTTGGGAGTTATCTCTCATTCTAAAGTGTACGTCTAAACACTCACATAAGCAACAATATTTGATTTATATTAAAGGAAATTTAAAACATTCATTTAGTAGAAACTTATGTTTTTTTTGGTAGGGTAGAAACTTATGTTTATAATTGATTGAAAGTTTTTCTAAGAAAATAAAAATTCAATATAAATTATGTAAAATAAATTAATTTTTAAAACAATAAAACCAACATTATTAAAAAAATTATTAGTAGTAATAATATTCTTCAAAATTTTAATTAAATTTTTTTAAAAGAATCATAGTTTAAATTTTAAATTACTATTTTATGATTTTTAGAATGGAAGTAAATTTGAAATATAGGGTAGAATAATACAAAATTTCTGAAATTGTATTTTTAAAATAGGAAAAAAAATTGAAAGTGAAACTTAAATTCTAAAAATGTATATTTAATGTTTTAATTTATCATTAAATTTTACTTAAAAAAGAAACTAAATATTACTAAACTCAACTTAAATTTATACTTTACTAAGAAAATATATGAAATGGCACACTTTATCTTGTGAAATTATATTAAAAATATTGTTTTTTTAAAAGACATTATCATCCATCTTCCAAAGTAATAAATAATTAATGGTCACATTATTTAGATTACTAGTACTTATGAGTTTGACAAAAAATAGACAGAAAGTAATATGTATGTTAAAAAATGATACGCAATTTTGAATAGCATATCTTAAGAAGAATCAAATTTTTTTAACCCTAAAATGGATGATTCAAAGAAAGTAGTAAAGAGTAAATAGGTTTCATATGTATCGAAAATAAATTCATATTCAAATATATATTATAGGAGAGCCAATAGAAGATGAAAAGAAAACTAAATGGTCAAGAATTCTATTATAGCATGCTGAATTTTCGTCGATGGATAAAACAAGTTCGGTAAAGCTACTCTAACAACATGGTATTATATGTATTTTTACATTAAATAACGTTCATGAAACTCGATAATTCATATTTGGAACAGTGTTATATTTGTATCAACATATATTCATAAATGATATATATACATTTAGGTTAACAACAGTCGATAATTAACCTGAAAACTTTTAAAAAATGTCTTACAAAATATTAATAAGGAAGATAATCTCTTAGTAATAAAAAATCAAGAGCTGGTCGTCGATGATGTTTCTTCTTTCCGCGAGTTTCTCAAGTGATATTTGTTATCACATAGTATATATTAAATCATATATTTTTAAAGAAAATATTATCATCGATAATATATATGTTATATATTGTATAATAAATTTATTTTTAATGTTTAATTGCATCGATTTATCTTTTAAAATTGGAATGATTATAGTTACTTTCAAAATTTTATATTGATAGTAGACCACGCGCAACGCAAAATAAAATTACAACATCAACATCGATTAGATCTCTCAATAAGGGATAATTTTATTAATTTTTGGTTTTGTTGGAAAATGCATTTGTGTAATAGTGTATATATTTGGCTCCAACCGGGTAACCTCTACTTTGTGAAACGAGTTTCTACTAATTGTTCTTCCTCCGAAGCTAGTGAGTAATGCATGGGATCCGACAATAGTAAATGCTGAAGAGTATAGTCTTAGTCAGATATGGTTAGTGTTTGGCTCATATGACAACAATGATCGCAACAGTTTGAAGTCGGGTGACAGGTACTTGGTTTTGTTAATTTCGATTATTAACAATTTCGAGTAATTATTTTTATCAGTTTACAGATTTTATTAGAAAATAAATATATTTGGAAGAATGTTGAGATTATAGTACTTAGTTATACAGTAATTATATATTACATTTTTTAATCAACTTTAGTTTTGGAAATATCTAAAACCATTAGCAGATATGATTTAATTTGTATATACAAACTCAACATTTTGTTGCATCATAATTCATAAAGTAATTAACAAAACATTATTCGCATGAATTTGTTTATATTCAAAATTATATTATAGGTTTGGCTCAATGAAAAAAAGACCTGCAACATTTTATTGTTTACTTATATTTTGCTCATTTTTTGCTTTATTTTTGATTACTTTTTATTTTATTTTTTTAATTATTTTAATAATTATAACATATTGGTAGATGTGTCGCCACTATTAATACATGCAAATAGCTTAATTTTATATTTTAGAGGCTGAAGTAACATCTTATTATATATAAACTCCAACGATTCCATTTTATCAGTTACGTTAGACGCTATGCTCTATGCTCATATGGCTCTCTCTCAGTTTATCAATTTATTAAAAAATTAAAAAAAATTCAAGTTTTCAATTAAATTATCAAATTTATCTATTCTTTATAATCAAGCTATCAATCCTTGTCAAATCATCAATCGTTAAATGCATAAAACGCATGCATGCCACTCCTATCGCATTTTTTTTTTTTTTCATCGGTTGATAATAAACTGATGTTAGTTATTTGCATCAATAATGTAAGTATCGTTTTTATAAGTGATGTAAAATTTATTTGTATCGCTTATAAATAATGCAAAAATACAAAATAAATAATACAACACAATTGTTTTTTTTTTTTTTGTAGTTTCTTGATTTCTTGACTCTTATCCATCTACCTCTCTTATCTATTTTTTTGGATCGCTCAATCTTTCCGTTTATACAATAATAGTTTTACCGAGGCCATGTTTACAAAAATTTTAACGACTAGTTGGTATAAAATTTAATCGAATAGAGGGTCAAATTAAGTCTCAAAGAATGATTTTGATTAATCATTAATTTCACCCAAATTTTAATTAAATACAGTAACTATAGTTTTAACTTTCATAAGGTTCATATATATGGCCTCTGCGACAACCATGTATTTTGGTTATTGAACATCTACCACAATATACAAAACTATATGACTCTTACATGGCAATTACTCATTATGTGGAAACTACTTATTATAGCAACACCAACATCTTAAAACCTTCATAACACAAACAAGTGTGCATACGTACGTACAAGGAACTGTCTACAAATAGGAGATGTATCGTGGACGAATCTTTTCGGTATTTTCCAAATTAGATATGAAAACACTCAAATATTTTTTTTGGACCAAAAACACTAATCCAAATGACCTTTTAGTAAACTATTTTGAAGATATCCCAATAGCAAAAAAAATATATTTTTATATTAAAAACCACTATTGTTATTTTATTATTTTACATTATTTAAAATTATCAATTCAATTGCCCATTAAGTTTTTTTTTTGTTTTTTTTTTAAATATTTTTAATTTCTCATTGTTAAAAAAAAATAGCATATTTTTTTCCTTTTACAAGATATGGTATAGTTTTCCATTTCTTAATGGATGATGGAGTCGTCTATAATCGTAACACCTAACATATATAGGTCAAATTATAATGAAATAAAGACGACACATAACTTAGCATATATCAAAAATATTCATTGCTCGTAATCTTAATATTTTACGAAGGCACATAAAATTTTTCTTTTCTTCAATAGTGATAGAGGAGTGGTCCACACATTACATAAGAAACCTCCAAAACCCCATCCATCCATCCTTATGTCTCTCCCATACATGACAAAAACATATATATATATATACAAAGACATATCTCACACACACATGTATAAAAACTAGTGGTGGTAACAAGACAGAGAGACTGTAGTGAATGAGTGAAAGAAAGAGAAATGGCAAGAACCCACTTAATATCTCTTCTAGTACTAGTGCTCTCATCAACATTGACATCATCATCATCAAAAGAGCAAGAAGAGGACAGGATCAAATCACTTCCAGGGCAACCAAAAGTAGGATTCTCACAGTTTTCGGGTTATGTGACAGTAAACGAATCACATGGTCGATCACTCTTCTACTGGCTCACTGAGTCATCTTCTCATTCTCCTCACACCAAACCACTTCTTCTTTGGCTCAATGGAGGTTTGATTCTTTTGCCTCCCCACTTCCATTCATATTTTTATATCCATACATGGATGTTTTTAGTGTATCTACATAGGTTTGGTGTTATACACTCTTATATGATTTTTCTGGTTTTTTCTTTTCTTTTTTCAAACTGAGATTCTAGTCCCTATATCGTTTGAGCCTGAAAAAAAATATGTTTCGATCCCAAAGTGAAGCCATTGTATTCAAACTCAATTCGGTATAACTGACAAAAAATACTCAATTACAACAAAAATGTTATTAAAAATCGAATGCTAAAAGACAGAGTAAACGAAATGTATGATCAAATTGTTATTTTATGCTTTAAAACAACTATATAGTGGTTTTATTATACTGTATATAACATAAAAATAGCCAAATGTTTCTGTAAATTTCAATTACTGAATATAAATCACTTATTAATATAGTTTTTGTAGGTCGTTAAAAACGATAGATGCAATCACTAATCATAAATATGAACTTATGTATATACTTTGTATAAGTCATGGATACATTAATAGCCTTTTTAATTTATTATCTAATTTGTTATCGAACGTTAATGTTATATGGAAGACGTCAAAACTCATTAACTTGCGCATTCTTTAATTAGACCACCTAAAAGTAAAATATAAAAATACCTATACCACCAGTACTTTATATCTTATCATAAGACTCAATACCTTTTATTTTTTTAATTGTGATTAAAGCAAATCAATGTCCACCAAAACAACATCAACAATCCAATATGAGTCTCATAAGTGAAACATGCCATTGTTGCTATAAAAAAAAACAAAAAGGAAACATGGATTTTGCTATTTTTCTTATTTAAATATGACTTTATACCAATCATGCGTGCATTGGAGCAAATGTCCACTTTCTCACTAAAATAGGCCGTAAGAGAATAAGAGTTGGAATATGCTCTTTGGCGGCTACACATATCTCTCTATGTATCTTGACCAACATTCAGAGCATGTGCACGACACCGACTATGAAAACGTGTATTCACTATTTATTAAGAAGCATATAAAGGTAAAGGCAAATGTAGCCAAGCCAACTTTCGTATAAACTAAAACAAAAGTAACAAAGGGTAAAGCATGAAAAAAACATAAAATTATGCAAATCCCATGGATCTGTGTGTGGTACACTGGTATTGGATCTTTGGTCAAGGTCATAAACTTTGCTATAACATTTTAATCGATACTATTATGTGTGAATATTGCTTTGGCCACTTGATCAGTACTATATATGGTTTGTAAAAATGGTTTAAAAGAGTGGGTAAAGAGAGATTGACTAAGAGAAAGGGACATAATCAGTTTGTTTGGTCACTAAGTATTTTAAGAATTACTAAACAAAAGGAGGAAGAAGTTAAAAAGTAGGGTCGTTCAATATTGAAGATCCTTAATTAGTTCATCGCAGGACCACAAACACAAAGAAACCGAAGTTATGATTGGCCAAACATTTGTATAACTATATTAAGTTTAGTTCACTTTAAAACATCAACTTCTCAATTATTGCATCTCTTTTGTTTTGACATTCGGTAAGAAAACATGACATAAACATGCACATACATAAGGCCATCTTTTATTATGTAATAATCAACTATGTATACAAATTCTGTTTTATACTGTTTAAAATACTTTTAAACACATCAAGTAAAAAAAAACTTATTAAAAGTTGTATATGTACGAATTTTTTTTTTAGTTTCTTTTTCCCTTCTATGAATCTTTATTCGGTGAAATAAAAAATACAGCGGAAGAGTTCATATGAAACTATATTGAAATTGAAAGAAAAATATCTCATTTACAAAGAAAAATTTTACATATAAGAAAATTTGTTTTTGTCCAAACAAAAAATAATATTGTTGACACTTTAATATATGTTGAACTTTTAGTGAAAAAAAATACAAGTAATTTTATACGGAAAATTCACAATAATTTCTTATATATATGATCATTATTTTGATAATTTTTGTAATTAAACCCTTAGGACCTGGCTGCTCGTCGATTGCTTATGGAGCTTCGGAGGAAATTGGACCATTTCGGATCACAAAAACTGGTTGCAGTCTTTATCTCAATAACTTTTCTTGGAACACAGGTAACTCACTAGTTTAGGTTCGTTCTTATTATTTTTTTTTAATATTGTATACACTTGATATAATATTTGTGTATGTGTGAATTATAACAGAGGCAAATCTTTTATTTCTGGAATCGCCTGTTGGAGTTGGATTTTCATACACCAATACAAGCTCTGATTTCGATGAACTTGGAGACGAACGTACAGGTCAGATCATTAAGCTTGTTTATCTAAATGTTAACCATATGGCCTATGTTAGAAGTTTCAATAGATAAACATATTTGACTACTCAAACTTTCACATGAAGATTATACAAGACTAGAGAAAATGTACTTACAAATATTCAAAATTATTATTTTCGTTAAGGAACTATTTAATTTAATAATTGTGTGATTCATTAACTGTGTGTTGCAGCTCAGGAAAATTTGATATTTCTTATTAATTGGATGTCAAGGTTTCCTCAGTACCAATACAGAGATTTCTACATTGTTGGTGAAAGCTACGCCGGTATGTCACAATTTACAATCGTTAAAATGATACAACATACTCTTGGGAGCACTTGAGATATTATTTGGTTTAGTAACGTCTTAGTTAATCTTGTTTACTCAATACAAATCAAGATTCATGTCTTTTAGATATTATTTGGTTTAGTAACGTCTTAGTTAATCTTGCTTGGGACAATTCATTTTGTTAACCCTTGTTTAATTTTTGGTCTTGTCTATATTTAACAGGGCATTATGTTCCTCAGCTAGCCAAAGAGATTCAAGAGTACAACAACGCCTACGAAAGACCAATCATCAATCTCAAAGGTTTCATGGTAATAGCAAATATCTCTCTATCACATTTTTCAAAACTATATATCAGTCCATACATTTTGTAGTTAAGAAAATATGAATTTATGTCCCTAATCTCTCTTCAAAGGTTGGAAACCCCGAGATGGACAAATACAGCGATAAACTCGGGACCATAACGTATTGGTGGTCTCACGCGATGATCTCCGATACTTCCTACAATTCAATCCTCGAAAACTGCGATTTCGCGGGAGAGAAATTCTCGAAAGAATGCGATTCGGCCATTTACAACTCTGCAGCCGACTTTGGCGAAATCGATCAGTACAGCATATATACACCCAAATGTGTACCACAACAACAACAACCTAACCACACCAAGGTTACGGAGTTGATGAAAATGCACATAACTAAACGGTTCTTAGTAGATCAGTATGACCCTTGTACCGAAAACTACGCCGAGATATATTATAACCGTCCTGACGTACAACGAGCCTTGCACGCTAACCACACTGCCATACCATATAAGTGGACCGCGTGCAGGTATTCTCAATGAAACTTTTGAACCAAAATGTACCCCTACTGAACCGAAATGACTCTAGTTTAAGGTTAAGTTATATAATATTTTTAAAATACGATGCACTAGCTATACAAACGTTATTTTTCTTTGAATATAATTTCACATTAATTTTTTTTTAAAACTACATTAAATATTAGAACATAAATAACATTTTTTTTTGTGTTCATTCTATTTGTTTAAGTGACACTGTGTTTAATAACTGGAATTGGAGAGATTCGGACAATTCAATGTTGCCTATATACAAGGAACTCATTGCTGCTGGTCTAAAGATTTGGGTCTTCAGGTATATATTAAAACTAGTTTCCAAGATCATACAAGTAACAACAACATCTTCTTGGTCATTAGATAACATTTTTTCCTCCTAATGCAGTGGTGATACAGATTCGGTGGTTCCAGTGACAGCGACTCGGTTTTCTCTCAGCAAACTAAATCTTCCGGTGAAAACTCGATGGTACCCTTGGTACTCTGGTAATCAGGTAGGAGGACGTACAGAAGTATACGAGGGGCTTACATTTGTGACGGTAAGAGGGGCGGGACACGAAGTACCATTCTTCCAACCGCGGAGTGCGTTAGTTCTTTTAAGATCATTCTTGGCTGGAATAGAGCTTCCAAGATCTTATTAGTCACCCAACATTTGAAGCTCCATTGGTGTTACTAGGGAACCTTTCAAAGAAAGTGCGCCTGAGAGTAATGAGTTTCGAGTTTTGATGTTGGGGAGATGACTAAGCAATGCCAATATTGATCATAGGAACTTATGGACCAGAGGTTTAGAGCCTCTTTGTATAATAAAATAAGTAAATCTTATTAGTATGTTTGTTTCCCTTTTTCTGCTTTAAAATCGAATTAATTTCCGGAAACCCAAATATGTCGATAAGATTTTGAAGCATTCTTTGTTGGGTTCTCAAGTCCTAGTCAATTCTCTCATTATTATGATATTGTCCGTTTTGGACTTATAACTCAAGTCCGCACAGATTTTTTATTGGGCTTATTCCCAAAAGGCTTCATACTAATTAGAGTTGGACTTACTTATATATTATAAATTTTTTTTTTCTAATATTCCGATGTGGATATTGATTTGTATTCCAATATTCTTGTAGTTAAGCAAGATCGTTTGTTACAAGAAAAATTGTATTCCATGGAACAAAATTGTGAATCCCCAACAACACCATATCTAGATATAATAGTGGTTAAACATCATCTCATCCAATCACAATACTCAATAACTTATCAAATATTTTAAATTTTTAAAAATTCTATACTACTATATTAATTACAAGTTAGAATCGATTTTTTTATTTCTTTTCTTTTAACAACCAATTAAATCTATTAGCCCTAGTTATGGCGTCGTTTGTCAAAAGAAAGAATGGTCCACTCCACATTCAGCAAAGCACATTAAAGAAGAAACCTCAAAACCACAAAATTTCTCACGCTTGCATATATATAAAGCCTGTCGAAGAAAAAGCATAGACTATAGTAAAAAGAGTGAAAGAAAAAAGAAATGGCAAGAACCCACTTAATCTTTTATCTACTTGTAGTGATTTCATCGACATCATCATCATCATCAACAACAACAAGAGAGCAAGAAGAGGACATGATCAAAGTACTTCCAGGGCAACCAAAAGTTGAGTTCTCACAGTTTTCGGGTTACGTGACTGTTAATGAGTCACACGGTCGATCACTTTTCTACTGGCTCACTGAGTCATCTTCTTCCTCTCGCACCAAACCACTTCTTCTTTGGCTCAATGGAGGTTTGATTCTTTTGCTAATGCATGGATCTCTATGTGTATATATACGTTCATAATTTCATTTGTGTGCTCTTAAATACCTAATAGCTTGATTGATGTGTTCTAGTTTCTTTTGATTAATATTGTTTACATGTTAGCTATTATTATTTTCTTCTTTAGAAAGCATAAAATTTGCATCCCACCGATACGATTATAGGAAAATGTTTACATTATTTTTGTATTTACTTGGATAAATCATAATATTTCAAAACCAAAAGAAAAAAAAAAGTGAAGTCCACTAAAATTGCTTTTTTTGAATTTAAAGTCTTAAAGCATCTAAAAATGTACCACGAGTTTCATATTATGTGATTTTAAATATTTTTAAAAATATTTAAAAAATAACATCAACAACCCAATGAAACATGCGACTTCTTTCTCATCATCATTTTACTTTTTAGTTTTTCAGGTTTTGGGTCATTTATTTTAAATATTTTCATTATAAATATAAATAATAAGTTTTTATCAATTATATAAGTGACTGTTTGAAGTAGTGATGCAAATATAACAATCAAGTATAAAAATTTTTTTACGTTATCAACTTATCATCAATTCATCATTCACAAAATGTGTATGAGAAGTACACCAAAGACGAGTCCATCAGAATTTGATTTTGAAAAGATTTTACATGTAAGTGAGTTCATCTTAGGACCGGGCTGCTCGTCGATTGGTTATGGAGCTTCCGAGGAAATAGGACCGTTTCGGATCGATAAAACTGGTTCCAATTTCTATCTCAACAAGTTTACTTGGAACACAGGTCAATTCAATTTTTACTTGTTATGGAATCACATCTTTATACAACAATGTAGCTTGTGATTTGAGCTTGTGATTTGTAATGAACAGAAGTAAACATTTTGTTTCTTGAATCGCCTGCCGGAGTTGGATTCTCATACACTAACACAAGCTCTGATCTTAAAGATTCAGGGGACGAACGAACTGGTTAGCTTCACTATGTTTTGTTTTTTATATGTCTTGTCAGGCTTTATCTTGTTATGAACATTTTGATTCTGCAGCTCAAGAAAATCTGATATTTCTAATTAAGTGGATGTCAAGATTTCCTCAGTACCAATATAGAGATTTCTTCATTGCTGGTGAAAGCTATGCTGGTATGAGTACACACACTCTTGATTTGGTTTTGTTTAGCTTAGGGCCTTAGGCCATAGACTTATATTTCAAGTGTCATTTTAGGACATTATGTTCCACAACTTGCCAAAAAGATCTATCTCTATAACAAAGCTTTCAACAACACACCCATCATCAACCTCAAAGGATTCATGGTAAACCTAAGTGTTATAAGAAAACATTAAAGAAAAAAGATTCACATCCCTACTTAATGCATATATTTTTTGGACAGGTTGGAAATGGAGATATGGACAAACATTACGACAGACTGGGAGCCGCGATGTATTTGTGGTCACACGCAATGATATCCGACAGAACTTACGAGTCTATCGTCAAACACTGCAGCTTTACCACACATGAAAACTCGTACGATTGCAGTTTGGCACTCCACTTGGCCTACAACGTTGAGTATGGCCAAGTCAATCAGTACAGCATTTACTCACCCTCATGTGTACATGAAACCAACCAGACGAAGTTCCTCCATAGACGACTTTTGGCAGAGGAATACGACCCTTGTACAGAAAGCTACTCCGAGATATATTACAACCGTCCTGATGTACAGCGAGCTATGCACGCTAATGTTACCTCCATTCCTTATAAGTGGACCACGTGCAATATGGTTCTGAATACAAACTGGGCAGAATCTGACTTTTCAGTGTTGCCTATATACAAGGAACTCATTGCTACTGGTTTGAGGATCTGGGTTTTTAGGTAATCCATGAAACTAGCTTCAAGTAAAGTCCCTTTTGTATCTTTTAACCACTTTTGTTTCTTTTGATGCAGTGGCGATACGGACTCAGTGGTTCCAGTGACTGGGACCAGACTTTCCCTCAGCAAACTCAATCTTCCGGTGAAAACTCGCTGGTACCCTTGGTACTCCGAGAAGCAGGTAATTGCATCACATTCGTGTTTCTATGCTTATTATGCAGAGCCATTGATTTTACAATGGTGGTGGTGCAGGTGGGAGGATGGACAGAGGTATACGAGGGGCTTACCTTTGTAACGGTAAGAGGGGCAGGCCACGAAGTGCCTGTGTTACAACCAGAGCGTGCTCTAACTCTTTTAAGATCTTTCTTGGCCGGCAAAGAGCTTCCAAGATCTCCTTAGTCACAAGTAGACGAGAAAAGGCTCCCTGCAAACCGAGTAAACTCGTATTTTCTTTTTCCAGTTTTTATGTTACAAATCCATTCATCTCCAGAATCTTAAGATGACTGTAAGGTTTACTCAAGGAAGATATATATTGATACATGATGATTTGTGTTGATATTCCAGATTAAACCACGGTATAAAATTGCAGAAAGAAAAAAGTTTCGAATATTTTAATGTCTGATCCATAAGAACGTACAATGCTCTCTGCCTCTTCTACCTGAAAAGCTGAATAAGACAACAAAAACAGCTTCTTACTTGAGTCCTTCACTGAGGCCCGGTGGCATACCTAAGCTCTGCGCAAGGTCGCTCATTCTTTCTTTCATAGCCTATAAAAATCACAAAGTTCAATTAGACCGAGATGAAAAGAAACATATACTTAAGTTGCATTGTGATAAAAAGGTCTGCGATTGCCATACCACCACACTCTTGGCGTGTGCGTCCTTGTATGCTTCTGTAACAAGTTGTGAAAGTTTCTGCCACATGAAAACACACTATAAGCAACCATTTGATTAACAAAAAAGAAACAAACGAATTAGCTTTGATTGTTTGGTACAGTTTACTCACTTCGGAACCTAATTCCATTGCTGCCTCGGTTATATCAGTACGGATTGGTTGCTGGTTACCTGATAATGTAACCTGACACAAATTCCAAAAAAGGTTTCAGATCATCCCAAATCATCCAAAGACATGAAAAATCAGGAAACACCGTTCTTACATCCATCAAGTAATCTTTTAGGGAAATAGACTCACATAAGAACCATAACAGACAATGATAGACTCATAGTTATAAAGCCAGTTCTAGTCTTAAGTTCCACTCATCTAATTAGACCAAAACAAGATCCGCACTAACCTTGACAAGTTCGCCTTCACAATAACCATCAAACTCTGCGCTGCGAAAGTAGAACAAAAAGCAACATGAACTTTCAATACACATAGCAAAGAAACTTAACATTTACAGCTAGTATGATGGTAAATGCGAGGACGACTCAGTACTCACGCAGCTAACTCTTTTTGAACACGAACAGCTTCCACTTGAACAACCATTTGAGCTTTCTTCACAGTCTCATACATATTCTGCATATTACCAAATATCCCTGCCTAGGAGAAACAAACACAACCAGATTATAACATGAAGCCTAACTTAAAACATAACACAACCAATCTAATGTACCTTAGATTGTCCATCTTCATTGTTATTATCTTTGTTACCACCTCCGAATAGTCCATTCACACGGAGAGATTTGTAACCAGTTCTAGAATTGTGCTGATTCGGCCATGTCCTAGTACTACTACTACCTCTCTGCGATTTCAAACTCACATTTCCTGAAATTGAACCATAGAAAAAAAGAAATCGAATTCGCAATCTGATAAGCAATTCAAGAGCAAGAATTTAGTGAAAATTTCAAAATTACGCAATTGTAAAGTCAAATTCAGATAAAACCTAAAACACAAAACGAAACCTAAAGCGAGAAGAGAGATTTAAAGTAGGGATTTTTAAGAGAAACTGACCATGAGAGGAAGGAAAAAGCAAAGATTTAGAGAAATTGGTGGTTGTAGCCATAGACGCCATTGTTGTACGGAGAGATGGGGCTTCTGAATTCGAAGAAGATAAAACCCGAAGCTAATTTTTTCCGAACTACTTTTGTTTTGTTTTTTCGGTAGCTTCTGTGTATTGCTGAAGCTCTTAACCAGTGGTTTATCGCCACGTCACCTAACATTTTTTTGAGTTTTAGATTTTTTTTTATTTTCTTACTTTAGATTAGGTTGCACTATTGATTTTTTCTTGTGCATTTTATTTCTCATATGGTAATATCGATAAAACAAGGAGGAATACTACTTTAAACCGACGGAAAATAAAAATATCTCCGAAGTTTAAAGTACAAACGAGGAATATAAAGCTATACATTGTATTTAAGATTCTATTTCTAATGCTACCGTAGAACCATTCTTTTGTGGTTCTATGTTATACGGATTTGTGTTATGGATCTGTAGATTGGAGTACTAGTTTGGAGTCAGCCAAACTCTGAAGTCTAACTCAACAACATTTGAAATACCCCTAGGCAAAACCATATTGGACGTTTTGCCTAGGCATTCTTTAGAAGTCAATGCCATTATGACCTGAAAGAAAGACATATATGTATCATGTGAAGTCCAAACAAACATAATCAACTTGTACAGTTTTACATGATAATAATATGACAAGACAACACACTCCATAATGCAATCACTGTGGTCTATGAATACTTATTCTTGTCATCAATTAGTTTCTTTCCAACGTTCCCAATGTCACCTTAAAAAAAACTCATGTGCAAGTCTCTGATTCCTCAGCCCTTATATGTTTGTCCAAGCAATGATCCTTACCTTTTGTATGATCCATTGCAAGAGAAATTGATTCTTTCTCTTCTGAATCAGCAGCACTCACTGGGAGGACTGTAATGGGTTTACGTTGCCGTTTCTCAACCAAAGCCATGTGTTTTTTGCCAAGCTTATGATTCCTCATCATCGTCTCAGAATTTGTCTGAATCTTACAAGTGTCGCACCAAAACGTTACCTTCTTTTTCTTCTCACCTTCCTCTATCTTCTTTCCCGTTGTTTCATCCACTTTTTGAGACGGTACATTAGCATTTTCAATCACTGAAATGGCTTCTGATTGTGGTGCGGAACCAGAAGCAGGAGCTAAGGAGGTTGAAGCAGCCTCAGGTGCCTCATTCTGTTGTTGTGTAATAACAGCAGCCTTATGCTTTTTACCTGACTCATGCTCCCTCATGACTTTTTGACTAAAGGCCCCAACATTACAAATCTCACACCAAAACGTAAAGTTACTTCTCAGCTTGATTTCTACTTTCTTTTCACTGCCAATTTCCCCCGAGCAAGGAAGCTTCGAAGAGACTATTTCTCCGGTTTCCACAGACATTGTCTTTGCTTCCAAGACTGCTTCTTCTGCTTTCTGCTTTTTCACTTGAAGATCTTTTTCCAAGCCCGTTTGAGTATCCTCTGCTTTACGCTTTGCTCCTACAGGATCAGCTCTAGCCTGCAATAGTAATCAAAGAAAACACATATGAAACAAAGACCACTATCATATATAACATACTATATACTGAAACGGTAACAAATGGTCAGGGATTTGTTCCAAACAACTAAACAAGAGGCGAGAAAAGTGTGTTGATACAAACGATGAGACACCACACTGACGAGAGCTTTCAAAGCACTTACCAGTACAATCAACTTCTCTTTGTTAGACTCTGAAACTGAAGTACCTGTAGCCTCAGGCATTTTCTGGAGTTGAGGCAATTGCATAGTACCAACACTGTCCGCTTTAGGCTTTTCTCCTATAGTGTCAGCCCTATTCTGCTATAGAAGAATCAAAGAGAAGACATATGAAAAAACGGCTCATATCATAGAGAAAAAACCAAAATCAAAATAGATGATGCTGCAGTGAGATGTTTAAGTACTCACCAATACAATCAACTTCTCTTTATTAGACTCCAAAACTGATGTTCCAGTAGTATCATCAACCATATTCTGAGGTTGAGGCAATTGCATCATTGGTGATGTACACATCATAGAACTGACCAAGTTGTTCTGATTCTGATTCTGATTCTGATTCTGATTTAAAACCTTCCTTTGGTTGATCCACATAGTTATCTTCTCCTCTAGAGACATAGACATCCCCGTCTCAGCGACTCGTCTTTTCGCCATTTCTCTCTCGATAGCCATCTCTTGTAAAACCTCGGCTATAAGTTCTCTTTTCCTCGCTGCTTCAGCGATAATGATCTCTTGACGGATCTGCTCCTTCTCAATCTCCCGTTGAATCACTACTTCCCGAACTTGATCATCACTCAATCCTAAAAACTCACGCCAAATTAACTTTTGAGTTTTGATTTCACAAAAAAAAACATCAAAATCCAAAATCTCACACAGAGACGACAAAATTTGCACTCAAATCAATTATAATACTGCGATTCAAATCAAATCAATTCGATAGGGAGATAAGGGAAACGAGAGATGAGGAGCAGTAACAAAAAAAACCTAGAATTGATGGCGGCGAGAAGAAAGAGAGGTTCGGTGTCGGAGGATGAGACGGTGGTGCAGTGACCGTCGCGGGTGGTGGTCGATTAGTGTCGATGGCTCTGTATCTGAATTCCATTCCAATTTCAAAATTTGGGGAGAGGGAGAGAAGAAGCAGAGAGAGAGAGAGAGAGAGAGAGAGAGAGAGAGAGAGAGAGAGGGTTTTTGTAATCTCTTATTTGGTTTGTCACTTTTGTTATAAAGAGAACAGTTTTTTTTTTTTTTTTGTACTTTTGTGATTATTTTATTTTTAATTAGTTTTAAAGAATTTAAATTCAAGTCATGTTCAAGCTTTGGTAGATTATAGTAAAATTATTAAGGATTTGAATGAGATACCTAAATTCGTTTGTAATACTTAGCCGGATTTGTCTAATACTGTATAGCCTAGATCGGTACCTTGGTTATATTTTGTTTTATACATAATTTTATATATTTTATATTTTAAATAAATTTTTGATATGTTATGTTCGTTATTATCGCGTTATGTTGTAAAGATCATAATTATTTTATCATATAAAATATTACAATTAACTTGTTACTGTTTACTCTATCATATAAAATACTCTAATTTGGTTTTTTAAACAAATATTTCAAATATTTAAGAGATTATGTTGTTTATATAATTATACATTATATTTAAATTGTCGTCCGTTACTTTTTAGAAAATTTTGTTGAAGTATTATTAAAATTATGCATTGTATATGAACTTAAGTTTGAATTTTTGATCCGTTACAATTTTTTCTTTATAAATACATCACCTTATGTTTTTAAAAAAAAAAATTCAAATCATAACATATGCGAAATATATATATATATTTATTATTATATGAATGATATGAGTCATGTTCTTTTCTGTCGCTGGATGAACGAGAGAAAAAAACAGACAAAATAGAATTATAATAGGCTTTGTCATTGTATGTAAGAGTATCCGTTAAGTTAAAATAAGCTACTGTAACAGTCGCTAGAAATCTCGGCGATTACTGTTTTCCCAACGACACCTTTTGTCACTCAAACGATCATGTATGTGTTGTCATCTTACCTATGCCCTTGTCATTTTGCTTTTTAATTGACATCGTCACAGTCGTTTTGATGGGGTTTAGTCACTCGTTGAGCGAATTAAAAAAGAACATGTCCATGATGAGTTATTTGTTATACAAAAATATAATCATATAAAAATGAAAGGTAAAGTATAAAAATTAATAACAAATTAATATGATAAGTTAGATATCAAATCTTCTTTATTTTTTTGAATGGTCATTCATTTTTAAATAAAAATAATAATGTATATTCGTTTTTATAATTTAATTAAATTGAATAAATTAGTATTTTACATTTTTGCTTTTAATGATTATTATTTTCATTCTTTAAAACATATATTTGTAATGGTATTTGAATGTAATTACATACCATTAGTGATCTTTCTTTTATAATGTACTTCACTTTTAATAAGAAAGGATTAAAACTAAGTTTTAGAGATTTGACTCCTTTATGTGCAGAGTTAAGTAGAATTTTAAAAATAATGGTTAAAAGAAAAAATGTATATTTTGGAACAAAATTATATGGACTTAGCTTCTTTTATCTTTAATGGAGGTTGGCTTAGTATATATATATATGGTTTGATCTTTTTTCGTTCTTGTTCCGTCAGTTTAGATTTCTTGAATTCTTTTTTTCAGATATAGTAGTTTTCATCTGGTAAAAAACATAATCATGTTCATTAAGAGTTTACACTGTCTCTAATGTGTAGTTCTCTATTTTTAACTCTATAATATATGATTAAAAACTATTCTTAACAATTATTATTGATGACTTCTTTGATATTTTGATTATTTTAATTATATTGTCAAACACATTTAAATTTTGTTATAAAAATTATTTTAAAAAATCTAGTAGTAAATTGGAATTTATTTAGAAAACTATGTATTAACTAAGAAATTATAAAAAAAAATTATCTATCCACACAAATAATTTACCTAAAATACAGTAAATTAATTGACTCACATCTTATACATTACTCTTTTATCATTATTATTTTTTCAACTGAACTCTTATACATTACTCTAAAACCATTTATTTCCACAAATGTTGTATTAAAAAACTAAATAAATAAATTCTAATAATATTTCTTATAAAATTAAAAACTAATCTAGTGCCGCAAATATCATATATCCGTGGAAATCTAGACAGAATCTAGTGTCAGACGTCGTACACAAGCTACCATGAGTCAACCAACAAGATGACGCCAGAACTCAAAAACATCAAACTGTTCCGTTGGATATAAAAATCCCTGAAAATGAACGGTGTAGATCTCGCTTACACTCTGTATCTTAGATTTGACGTTCGCTGTTACCCCCAACGACTTTAAAACCTATATTTGTTTCGTGAATCTTCTCTCTTCTTCTTCTTCAAATCTGATCTCATCTCTTGTGAATAATCAATGGCGAGTAGTTGCGAGCTCTGCTGCGAGATCTTAATCGCAATCCTTCTTCCTCCTGTTGGAGTTTGTCTCAGGCATGGCTGCTGTACTGTAAGTTCGATCTCTCTTAGCTTCATCTAATTCGAATTGAGATCTCTAAAAATCGAATCACGATACTAGAAGCTGGTTTGATTGCGGTTATTGAAATTGAATTTGGTTACGATTCCGGTTTACGGGAACCAATCTATAATATGATGTTTTGATTGGAGACGAATTACCGAAAATATAATTGTGGTGGTTTCCTGTAAAGAAACACTAATGAAGGGACTAGGATATAAAATTTAGATTTTTCTTTTTCTCCCCTAAATTGTGATTTGTTTGTTTTGCTTTGTTTTTGTGTGTTTAATTTGTAGGTTGAGTTCTTCATTTGTTTGGTACTCACTTGCTTAGGCTACCTACCTGGGATCATATACGCGATTTACGCAATTTTGTTCTTGCACCGAGATGAGTACTTTGATGAATACAGACGCCCAATCTACTATGTCGCTTGATCTTGTGATTCTGATTCATTCATTGCTCTCGAGAACATTTGTATATTGCTTATAAACATGAAGCATCTAGATGTGTTTGTGACAACTCATAGTAAAATTCAACATATATTTCATATATCCGCGTATTTTCGCAGGCTTAATAGTCTTCATATAAAGCTAGGTTAGCGAAAAATATGCCACGGATCAATCCATTTTCAGAACTTCGATACTTTGAAAGAAAAAACAAAAGAATTGCGTTCATCTAGTGTATGTTTTAAAAGAGGATCAATGTAAAAGTATTCATTGAGATTCAAGACATTTGAAACAAACCTATGATCCCGCACTTATCTGATCTTGTCGGCTCGGTTGATAACACAATGTTGGAGACATCTTTGTTGTGAGAAAGTGTGTGAACCAGATTTTGAAACCCTCTTGCTTTAAGGTAACGGTCTTCCAAGTGTATGATCATTTTCTCTAATCTCTTTGCCTCTTTCACCAAAGGTTCAACGAACGAAGCCACCTGCTGTGACTCTTTATCCCAACAGGACATGTTCTGAAAGATGCTATCTTTTGATTGCAAGCATTGATCCAACTGGCTATTAATCTTTTCCCCCTGATTCATGGATTTTCCAAACTTAAGAATGGTTAGAATGGTCAAGAAAAAAATAAAGAAAAAGGTTTATGATAAATATATACCAGCGCGGTGTCGTAAGTTCTTGTGTGTATTGTTAGCTTCTTTAGATCAGGTGAGTTTTGTAACAGTCGTTCTATAGCAGGAGGGATTACAAACTGAAACATCGTTGTCTCAATCGTCAAAGCTTTGACCTTGAACATCGGAAAACGATTACCACGAAGCTCCCCTAACGATAACACCTAATACAAAGGCACACATTGAAAAAGATAGTAAAATAGTGAAACTATGTACACCATGTTGGCTAAAGCAACCAAACTAAAAATCCAAAACATACGTGAAGTAAGTCTGCCCCAATGGTAAGTTTCTCTACGTTTTGAAGCTTTTCTAGCATCATGAGATGAAGCAAATCATCTTCCAAGGTTCTTTTATATAAGTCAAAGCGATAGTTCACTCTAGCTTCGATCAAAGACGAGACATCGACTAAAGTACAAGGAAACTGAGAGTTTCTCAATACGAGACGATGTATATGTGGTGCCACAATCAGCATTGGATCTGTACCCCAACAGTAGCGGACAACTTGTAATGTCCTCAGACGCAGCGACTTGCTCAGATCAAGAACCTTCAGTTCAATACATAAACTCAACGTTAAGCTTTCCAGGACAGGGCAACCAGATAATAACTTAGCCAAGGATTCATCAGAGAGTCTACAACAACTCAACTTCAGCTTCTTCAACGATGTCCAAGACACAGACCGTTTAGGTATCATATCAGCAAAGTAAAACTCAAAGCTGAGTTGCTTGACAGAGGTATTGGTATAGAAGAACTCAGGAATATCATATTTTTCAAGATTAGCATCCATCATTGCCAAAGACATAGTCTCCACGTTACGGGACATGGCCAACTCGATCCAACTGTTAAGTTGTGGTATATGATGGATCATGCCGGTTCGGATGTTCAAATCTATCATCTTGATAGCTGTGTAAATATTTTGGATTTTGTTTAACGAAGAAGCCATCTTCTCTAATGTGTTACCATCGAAGGAGAGGGAAGGTGTATTGTACCAAACATACCTCCATCGTTTGGACAAGAGGGACGTTGTGATGGCTTCTTTGGTCGGAACAAAGGCGAGGATGTGTTGGATGATCTCATCGGGTAGAGAGCTGATTAAGTCTACTCCTCGTTCGATTTCGCGATCGTATCGGGAACTTGGGACTCTTACGTCGGCGGTGAAGTTGTCGTCCACCACCATCTTTTAGTTTATCAAAAGCGAATTTGTTATTTTCTTTTAGGGTTTGGTTCTTATTTATCCCTACTATAGTAAAACAGAAGTACAAAAGTTTATTGCGTCGGGTTTTTTTAAAAAATTAACCCGAAATTTTTCAATTGGATCTTACTAAAAATTTAAAGATATTAAATACCAGTTTCCATATATATTATTTCGAAATCTACCAAATTAAACCATCAATATCGGTTTTGGAAAGTACATTAATCTTAATTTGTTTAAGGAAAAATACATTAATGTATGATTTTGTATATTGGTTTAACAAATTAACCTAAAAATCAGAAATATAAATTAAATATAAAATATTTATCAAATTATCCATAATATTTCAAAACAAAATGTTCCTTAAATATCTTATATTAATATTTAGATGTATAGTTTTCTCCTATATTAACTATGATCTTCACACCAATTACGGGATAATTCATTTTCAACCATCTTTAATATATTTATTTGGCAATAGTTTCGAATTTCTGGCTTGATTATAAAGCTAATCTTTTTTTCAACGCTAACCTAACTCTAAGAAAATATTATCTATATAAATAAGTTTCTGCTACCAGAAAATTGTAACATAAACACATATTTTACATTTTAACACGATAAGAAATAAGAAATCATTGGCTCTTTATTTGTTTATTCTAGATATTTGCAATTCTACAAAACTGCATGAAAGATCCAAGTTAAAATCATGTATTTATGATTATGCGGTGTACCGCGGGTCAATCCCCAAACTTTAAAAATGATTCATAGTATAATATTTATACATGTATATATGTCACATATTGTTCTAAAATTAACAATCCAACTAAAATCATACAATTTAAATAATTTTAAACATATTCGAAACCAACACAAAAATACAATCTAAAAATGATAGAATTTAATTAATAATCAAAATAAAGTAAAGCAAACACAAATAAATTATCCCGCAACGTACAAAGGATTAAAAACCCGGTAATTTTCCCCCGCGCTGTAGCGCGGGTCCGAATCTAGTTAGATTTTAAATTAAAATCCAAATAAACCAGAAAATTATAAAAAACTAAAACTAATATCAATCTGGAAAACCAAAAACCAAAACCATAAACAGATCTTAATCAATCAATCAAATTATCTACTTCTATATATGGCTTCAATTGGTAACCATGAATTAGAAAAAAAATGAGGAAGAATGTGATATCCCTATGTATTCCTCAAATTTTAACCATGGCTCCGAATGGTAACTGCGTTTTTCACTGCGGAAAAAGTGCGGTGCGGTTCAAATAGTAACAAAAATACATAGATATATATGTATATGCAGATATTTTGACACTATTACAGCTCTGTTGCGGTGCGGTTTTGTAGTACGGTATGATTATCATTCGGAGCCATGATTTAAGAAAATATTATTTATTCCGTTCCACATTGTTCTTTTTATTTATTTATTTTTGTTCTTCTCATGGTTAATAGGAGAAATCGGTACCATATAGAAAGGCTGATCTCAACGGAATAGAAAGCTTGAATAGCGGGTTTGCGCCTTGACATGAAAATCAAGCGTTTTAAAATTTGTGATTAGAGAGATTAACACAATTTTACTTTGCCAAATAAACACAATATGTTTTAGTGCGGTTAGAGAGATTAAACACAATTCTACTTTGAAAAATTATGGCGTACGTACACAAAACATAGATTAAAGAATGCAAAGCTTTGTGAATGAATTTACACAATACATACCACAAGATTCGAAGACACTCGCTCACTTTTGAAAATATATAACTTGCTTTTGCAACCAAGATTTAGTATTAATACTTAGAACGGGAACAAAATCAAGAGCACATAACTACTAAGAAGACAAATTCCAAAACTACATAAGTTCAATAGAGGAGATAGAAGATTGGATGATGATGGGATGAAGATAGGAATAATCCCTCTTCTCTTAACGAAAACGTGAAGATTGTTGTTCTTGTATCCGGCGCCGTGTTCCACAAGTTTCCTATCATCATTGTGGTCTGATAGAATCAGATGAGATTGAATGATTAGCAAGAAGATGATCAAGGAGCAACAAACGAGTGAAGATGATCTCATTTGCGTTTTGAACTTATATACCTAATTCAAGAAAATGTATTTGAATCTGTTTTCTGTAATGAAGTTTTGTGAAAAATGTCTAATTGTGTCAACGAGTGATGCGAATTTATAATTCCTTCGAGTACTCGTAGGTACTTCATGAGTTGACCTTCTTTGTTAAAAACACACAGATAATACAACTCAACTCAATTATACAGCTAACATTTTATAGTTTTTCGAGTTGTGATGAGTGGCATGAATCATAATTTATTTAAGGATTACACATTTTGTGATATAGTTAATATGATCTGCAACACATAAGAGTTTTTTTCGGTTATTCGAGTAATTGTGAGTTGCATGAATCACTTTTTTTTTTTTTGATAAATCCTATCAGCTGATCCGGTCAGCCCCGATAGAAACACACCGAAATGCTTCTAAGTGGACTTCTCCTTAAAAGGCTACCATACTGTCTATCCGCATTTCTGACTACCAAATAAATCAGTTGGGTGTACAGACTTCCCACACAACAATGACTTTTAATTACAGGGTGGATCGAGGGTTAGTTCCTTTCAACTTTTTCCAATTCTCCCTTACCACTGGACCGTGCAGGCTGCATCAATCATATTTTTTTAAGGATTACATTTCGTTACTATTTGTACAACGTATATATATATATATATATATATATATCCACTTTTACCAACAACCATTGAAATGTTCAAGTTTTAGCATTTTTCAAACTCTTTGGACCTCCACTCTTATAGAAAAACAAATGATTCAATGGTTTTCACAAAGGTTGACTCGACAAAATATTATTTTTGTAATTGGGTAATGGTACAATCATTATACAAGTTATTATTTATATATCTAAGGTTGTTTCAAGTTTCAACGATGATATTGATAGGAATTGGATTAAAGGCATCTTCTAAGTTGTTGTATTTGATTGAAGGTTTTAATTGAATCTTCGTCACTAATTCGTGCTTGCCACATAACGTTACTCTAACGAAGAAATCATATGAAAAATGTAACCTTTTTTTTTATCTTTTCTCACCCTGAAATGTTTCAAAACTCAAGATGAACGAAAAAAGTATATAAGAGAAGTAAAACAAAACTGAACCAAATCTTCCGAGTATATATAAATATTAACTCAAAAACCTTTATAACAAAAAATTGATTCAGACTACTCTCTCAAGTTAAGACTTCGCCATGGAGAACCAATATATCTTTTAAAGCAGACTCCGGCAAGCCTCGAGCTCCTCCGCCTGCGATGTTGATGGAGTCTCGCCAACACTCTTTATTACTGCATCAAGCACGGTTTTTCTGAACCAATCATCTTCCATCTTCTTTAGAACCTCTCTCACAAGCTTGACATCCGAGACTTTAGCTGATACCAACTCCCCTAAGATCTCTCCAAAGCTGTTTGGTGCTTTTGGCAGATCGATTCCAATGTCGTCCAACATTGAACCGTAGAGCAAACAACCCGCTCCTAAGTCTTCACATGTCAGCACGTTCTTGGAGATCAGATGTTTCAAGAGTTTGGCTATTGGTTCGACCAACGGAGGGTTTTTCTCTAGACCGAGTGAGATTGCTTCCTTGACGAGCTCCGGGTGGTAAGATGGAGATTTCAGTTCCTCAACACATTGCATTGCCTCGTCCAGTAAACGGACATTGAAATATTCTTCAAGAAGCGACTTGGTTTTTCTTTCAAGCTCTCCTGCGTTCAGGCTATTAGCCAGAGGAGCCGCCTGTGGCTGTGGCTGTGGCTGAGGTTGAGACCGTGGTAGCTGCTTCTCTACAGTTGGAATGGGTTTAGAGGCTTGAGGAGCTAAGGTAGAACCGTTACCTTGCAAAAGAGCACTTCTACCACCGCCATTAAGAAGGTCTCCAGAGCCCTGAGGAAGAAGCCTTGAGTTGACTGAAACTGACTTGTTGAAAGCAGGAGGAGGCTGAACACGTGCACCAGGCTGCTGCACTGTTTGTCTGTTCCCTCTCGGCATGGACCGTGTCCGTTGTATTTCCCAGCCGCCATCATCCATAGGCATCTTCATAATTCCCGGCATGCCAGGCATCATTCCTCCAAAACCAGGACGGCCAAGGATATTTCCAGAGCCAATACTGTCTGCTGCACCAGAAACCGCAGCACGGTTATTGTTGTTGTTTCTCATATTTGCCATCGCACCAGGACGCAACCCAAGATTCCTCTCTGCCTCGGAATGGATTTCAGTGATCTTCTTTGCTTTCACCTGCCATTTTACATAGTAAACAACGTGTAAGCATGGCTCGAGAGAACTAAAGACTAGTATTTAAAGGTTTGAGATGGAATGATAAAATCTTACCTCCTCACGCCTCGGTACCCATTTGTTACCTCGAAGATCAATAACATTTTGGACCATAAATCTAAGACGCAGCTCTAGCTGAGGGTGCTTTGCTAGATCCTTCAACCGACCAAAGTACATCTCATTTGTACCTCGAGATCGTGGGTTCTCATCAAGTTGTTTCCCAATAGTTATAAAAAATTGGCATAGAGCTTCAACATCTCCCTCTCCTGGGCAAGCTTTACTGTCTTCTCCTAAAAGCTCCTGTGTTACAATATTTTAAGTTCAATGAGCCTTTAAGGAAACAATATATGAATACTATAATAAACAAGAAGGGGTCATACTCATACATACTTGGACAATATGATGAACTATCTTCTCAGGCACCATCTTTTGCTTCAGAAGTTCTCCAATAAGACGAATATTTCCAAGTGTCCGGAGCTTCACCATCTTCTCCTTATCCATTCTTTCCATTTCTTGGTCTGGATTAGTCATCTGTCTAATTTCTTCCTTCAATTTGCCCGAACCCTCAAATGCCTCTTGGCAGTTATTTAAAAGGACTCTTTTAAAGTTTAACTCTTTGCCACCAGGTTCCTCAGCCGGAAACGAAGGGAGCTTTCCGTTAATATCATAACACAAAAGAGCGTACATCTCGCAGAACGTAGGCTGCAGTATAGCATTCTCAAAGATTAGCTGTATCACACCCTGCAATCAAAGGTAAGAGCAAGTCAATACCATGAAGAGAGAACTACAAAACAGCAGAAATCAGGAATCAAAAACAAACCTTTAAGATATCAGCAGAGGTGATGCCAGAGTCAATCAATTGACCTTTAAGAACCTCATACTTCTCCGGAGTAAGCTTGTTCAGAATACTGCATCAGATCAAAGTTGTAACGAATCAGTCCAAACATACATCACAACTAACTTCAAGGACAAAAGCTGAGAAATATAATATTTACCCTTTCACGTTCTTGAGAACTCGGTCTTTATCTGAAAGAGCTCCTCTTTTAGCTGACCACGCGACCTCTGCTTTAAGCAGCACAGGAGCAGGACCAGACTGTTACACAAGATGATCATGTTAGCAAGAAGAGAAACTTAGTAAGTTAACAATATGCCAACACATAACAAGTGACGAAAACTTACCCCTTGCGATGTATTTTTAGCGTCGTCCCTAATCCATTCTTTACCACCAGAGGCTGGAACCGGCGCACGACTATGCCAGTCACGGTTATCACGCTCGGTATAACGATTCTGAGGTTGATTTGCTGGCTGATAAGACCAAAACAAAGAATGTGATATTAGAAAAACAGATTCTTTAAAAAGTATGAAACAATGCAAAACAGAACAATCACACACATATACACTCACTTTACTCTCGGCTACACGATTCCCCCAACTATGCTCTTCTCCAAAAAGCTCAGCTGAGATTTCCTTACAGCGTCTCAAGATTTCATCAGAGACTTGAGCCGACTCCTATAAAGAAACATAACGATGAATGATTAGATCATCAAGAACAGAAACAAAGCCAATGCTAACATCAGAAACAGAGTTTAAAGTTTAATACCTGTTTGACCTGAAGCAACTGGTCTCGTGTAAACCGCAAACGTTCACCAGAATTTTCTCTCTACAAAAAACAAAAAATTTCAATTACACAACATAAAGTATCAATCTTTGTCCATATAATCAAAAATTTTAACAATCGTCAAAAAAAAAAACCTAAAGATCCAATCTTTTTTCATAATTCGATTCATAATCACGAAAACGAATCAAACCCTTCAATTATACACCTTCTCTTAACAAACCCATGAAATCAAATTTGAACGTAGGGGAAGAGAAAAAAAAAACAGAGGATTGTGATTTGTTCGTGTTTTTATTTACCTTGACGGGAATAAGGGTTTCTCCGGTACCGCCATTGGTAAGATCAAAGGATGAAGAGGAGCTAAAACGAGGGACGAAAAGCCTCTTTCCGCCGCCGCCACCACCACCGCCGGGTCTCAAGCTTAAACCCGATGGTTCACCTTGTGGTTGCATTACTCTGATTTTCTTGTTTTCGCGATGAGGAGGATTGAATAAAAATAAAATAAAAAAGTAAAATTTCTTGGTGCAGATAGATAGAGAGAGAGAGCTATATAGTGTATATATATATATGTGAGTTATATATTTGTGTATATTGACGGTGGAGAAGATAATATCACTTTCCAATTCCTTTTTCTTTGATGAAGTTGTGTTCTGTGTGTTTTCTGCCCTAATTTCCTTTTTTTGTTTTTTTTGTTATTTTCCTTTATTTCTCACGTGTTAATTATCTGCTAATTACGAAAATATCCTTTATTTATCATTCATAAATAATAAAACTATTTTGTTTTTGGGGGAAAAAATTAAGAATTTGATAGAAAATCTTTTAAGATATTGTATTTATTATTGACTTTAATTTGTTGTATTTTTATTTATTGTTATCAAAAATCAAATCTACTTTTAATTTATATATTTGTTGCATGATTAGAAGTGATTTTGGCATGGGTCTGGCATGAGTAAAAACTGTAAAATTCAATTAATATTCAAAGATTTTCTCTATAGTTATTAATTAATTTGAACATTTAACTTTTATGTTCGTGAATTTTTATGTAACTCCAAAAATAAAACTGATTTATGAGATTATAATTTTTGAAAACTTTTACAAATATTATATTCATTTGCGAAAAAATAAATAAGGTTGTATTTTTCTCCCTTTAAAGGAATATGATTTTTCTAAAAATTAAACAGTAATAAGAGGGGCAAATATGGATTTTCACATGAATGAGATTATAGTTTAATGTCACACAATCTCTAATCCTGTCGTAATACTAAGGAACAGTTATTTGTTAAAAGTTTATGTCCGGTTGCTTCAATAATATTGGGCCCTAACCAAATAGTAAGCCCATTAACAAAACACCGTCGTTTCGTTTCCAACACTAACTTACGAAACGACGTAGTTTCAATTTCGTTGCGTTTTTTTTTTTTTCTTCTGGATAAGAGCTTCGTGCAGATGCCATGGTTTGAAACCTCTTTGAGTGAAGAAGAAGCGCCATGGCTGGGATTACCAGCACCGTCGGATTCAACGCCGTTTTCTCCGGAATCACCAAAACGTTGTCTTCTTATTCACCATTCTCAGTCGATTCTAAGCTCTGTGGTCTTCGTCTCTCCAAAACCGAACTGTCTTTCGCTAATCTCACGCCTTCTCCTCGCCGTGGATTCACCGTAACTTGCCGCTTCGGAGGTGGTGGTGGAGGTTATCGTTTCTCTGGAGGAGACTCGAGGCGAGGTAGGCCTAAAGAAGCCGAAGTTGATGAAGCCCTTGATATCGCCTCAATTAGGTAATGAGGTTTATGTAGTCGAATTGGGATTTTGAAATTTCTTGTGTGATTCGAGTTTTTGAATGGTGTTGTGTTGTTTGAGTAGGTCAGCTACTGTTAGGCTTATCGATGGACAACAAAACATGGTAAATGTGATTCAATTTCTTGAGATTAGTATAAGATTACAGCTTTGTGATTTTGCAAAAATAGACTCATAAGTTTCCCAGTTTGTTTTTGGTTTCTTTAGCTTGGTTTAGTATCTAAAGATGAAGCTGTTCGAATGGCTGACGATGCTGAGCTTGATCTGGTATGTGTTTCCATTGCAAATGTTCTCTCTTGTTGATACATTAAGCTTTTTGGGTATTTGCAATGTTTTTGGTTTGATATTCGACAATTGAATGTGCGAATATTTGGTGAAATTAAGCAATAGATGGAAGACTTCGCTAGAATCGAACATGCTCTGGTACTGTATAGAATAACGGAATTTGGATAAGAATTGTGAAAGATTTATGTTATTCTCTTATTGAAGAAGAAGAGTGTTTGTATCGTTATACTAGTCAGTAGTCACAGATTAGTTAAGCTAAACCAAGACTCTACTGTGACTAAACGAACCAACTATAACTGATAGATTGTGTTGGTTTTCAGGTGATATTATCGCCTGATGCAGATCCTCCTGTTGTTAAAATGATGGATTACAGGTGAGTAGCTAAATTTTTATTGAAATGGCTTCTTATATGTATACCGAAATGCACAGAACTATTAGTAATGGTGCTTTCTTCTTTGGGTTAACAGTAAATACAGATATGAACAGCAAAAGAAGAAAAAAGATCAGCAAAAGAAAAGTATTGACTGTTCTCCTCCTTCTTAGTTTCAAAGTTGGAGATGATATGCTTATCAGCTTATGTATTTTTTTCTTGTGTTTCTTCATCTCAGCCACTCGCATGGACTTAAAGGAGCTTAAAATGGGGTAAGGCGTTTGTTTTTTGTTTGTTTGTGATGTTGCAAATGGTTTTCAGAACTGAATCTTATCAAAATGTTACCACTTTATTTTCCAACAGTTATAACATTGATCAGCATGATTATTCCGTTCGTCTAAGGGCTGCCCAAAAGTTCTTGCAAGATGGTGACAAGGTTATTCATATTCTTCATAAGCTGCAAGAGTTCTGGCCAATCTGAATGTATTTTGCTAATGCATTTCTTTTAATGTGCACAGGTTAAGGTGATTGTGAGCATGAAAGGACGAGAAAACGAGTTCAGAAATATCGCTATTGAACTCCTCAGACGTTTTCAAACCGAAATAGGGGAGGTAACATGTTTTTTCTCCTCTTGTTCCTTATAAATGCAAACTGTCTGAAATGAATAGTCACCGAAACTTGGCCCGCATCTGTAGCTTGCGACTGAAGAGAGCAAAAACTTTAGGGACAGAAACTTGTTCATTATCTTGGTACCAAACAAGGAAATGATTAAGAAACCACAAGAACCAGCCTCTAGAAAGAAGAAAAAACAAGTGGAAGTCGAAGTTTCGGCTGCAGAAATAACGGCTGAACCGGCTGCAGAAATAACCGCTGAACCGGCTGCAGAAATAACAGCTCTACAGGTCGAATCTGAAGTTTAAATCTTGTGGTAAGGTTTTTGAGAGCTAAAGTAAAGTTTTGTATATTTACTTTTCTACCATGTCTCAAGAGAGGCAAGAGCTGTATAACAGATAGAGTTAGTCCTATTTGAATGATGTTCTTTCTTTGTAGATCATTTCTCTAATCATTTTTGTATAATAACTTCTCAGCATAGTTGATTCATACAGAATTGTACCTTTTTAACAAACGAAGCTTATAACTTGATTGCTTCTATGACTGAAACTATATAAAAACTCTGATCGACGTTCCAATAATATTTAGATTTACTATTTTGTGAATTTATTAATAGCTATTCTAGCACTGACCATTAAAAACTAACTGAGATTACATGTGAATATTTAAATTGCATTTTCTTCATTGATTTTTCTTTAATCTTCTTCACATCTTTTTCCTACAAGTAAAAGACAAAATGGAAAAAGATGATGATGGCAGAAGAAAATGCGAGCCAGAAAGAGCAATTTACAAGTCATTCTTTGAAGTGTGTTGTTGTTATGGCCATGGAAACTTGCTCAATGGCAACAGTGGAGACCCTGCATCATCTCTTACTTCTTCTTCTTGCTTCTTTTGTATCAGATGGGTCTTGAGGCTACTCTCTTCTATCTGTTTCACACAATGAATAAACTCGGGTTAACGTGTTGAAGTTGAACCATAGATTCTTGGATTTGTGTTTGATTTTGTTTACCTCCATGACTGCAGTTGATGCCAAGAGATCTTCACATTTGTCAAGCAAAAAGTTCTCTTTTGTAACTACACCAGCGAGATCTGAAATAACCTTATTCGTCTCCTCCATCTGCGAGTGTAATGACCAGATGGATGATCCCATACTCTGCATAACATCAAGAGCTGAGGACATAGCCAACTTCAAAGATCCAAGATCCGCCTGTGATTCACAAGAGCTTTACTAAATCATAACTCGATTCTTGGTCTTTTCTATCATTCAGTGGAAAGGTGAAACTATACCTTTGTTCCTCCGGTTAGTGGAAGCCTGAGAGTATTTGCTTCCAAGTCCTCAATGGCACCAGATAAAGAACTGACGTGTTCTCTCTCAAGTGTTTCCCAATCTTCAAGGCAATTCATCTGCACAAATACTTATGAGGATACCTTTAGACCATGAGGATGATAATCTGATGAACACACGAGAAAGTGAAGATATATATGTATACCTGATCATTTAAAATGGATTCAAGCTTGATTTCTAGTTTCATCTGTTGGAGACAAATTCTTTGGTTCGTCACATGATCTCGTAGGTCTGATGTTGCTTGCCAGACATTGTATAGAGTTTCCTGTAACCTCAAGATTGTTACAACAGAGGAAGATACACTCAATACAATGTTACAAACAGAGTATTTGATTTACCTCAGCAATTAAGCTTTGAATGTAGCTTACTCCCTCAGCTCGAGCATTTGCAAACCGCCACTGCGTATATCTATTATAGAGCAAGCGCAGTTGATGAACATCTTCTATATAAGTTGTCTTTTTCCCTTTCTTGACATCCGCGATGAAGCTAAGAACCGAGGTTGTGTTGCTACTGGATTGCGCGGTTTGTCTTATCCGAGATGGACTTACACCTCTAGGTGGCGGTGTAGATGATCTCACACAAGAGAGATTTCCCACTCTTGAAGGACTCAATCCTCTCAAGGGACTCACTCCTCTTGATGGACTCAAGCCTCGAGAATTCGAGGATGATGATGAAAATGAGGACCTGCTCGGTGAAGCAGTGCGTGATCCAGGAGCAGACAATGGGTGTAACCTAGCAAAGGTTGTTCTATCTAATGAACTTGCAGACAAAAGCTTGAGAGATTCACAACTACTACTATCTTCTGAAGTTGTTGGAGACAAAATCTCTTGTCCACCATTTTCATAACAAGATAACAAACTTGTTGTGTCACTAGAAGATTTCTGTAATGGCTTTGAGATTTTATTGGACAAAGGTAGTGACATTCTCCTAACCGCTTTATCGCCAAGATCGAAGCTTCTATTCATAGGATTTGAAGTAACCTTTCCGCTAATTCGACTAGGCCATCGATGTTGTTCTATTAACTTACTATGAGAACTATCCACAGGTTTTGAGTTTTCTGATTGTCCAGCAGACACATTCTTCCCCTTCAGTGGACTTCTTTTCCTCTCGGGAGTATGTTTCCTCGAGACAGAGGTTGTCTCACTCTGCTGCTTATGAGCTATATTCAAAGAAGACAGTCTCAATGTTCGATCAATCGAAGAAGTAACAAGCGGTTTCTCCTTCTTACTAACAGGAACTGAGACTGAATCAGACTGAAAAGAAACACTGAGGCTTCTCATAGTAGAAGGCCATAAGCTTTCAGGTAAACGACCAGTAGATAGTCTCCTAGAAGAAACCGATAAATCTACAGATACATCACTAACCGGTGTGGAAGGAGTAGTTGGCGTGGAAGGGCTACGTTTCCTTTCCGCTGAAACCGCTCTTTTCGATAACGGTTGAGAGCTTAGAGAAGACACAGTCCTCGTGACATTAGGTGAAGGACACCTCCCAGTTTTAGTAGGAGTCGGTGATCTGTATCTTGAACTAACCTCCATAGTTCTAGCACGCCGCGTGACATGAGAAACTACATTGTTCTTCTCAGCTGGAACAAGAGGAGGTCTTGTAGTATCTGTTTCCGATTGCTGCTGCTTAGCCATTACTCCTTTCTTGGAACCATATACCACATCCATTCAAACAACTTGCATTGGTTTGATTCAGCAGCTCATTGTAGTAGACTCTCTTTTATATTCTGCCAAAAAGTAAAGATACCTTCCAGATGAGCAAGATGGAGCAAAAGCAGAGAATATATATTTTAAAGACAACCCAGATGATAAAGATTAAATCTTTACAACAGAGAACACAGATCAAGAAACCCTTTAAAGAAAAGGTGAGATCTTAGGTGTTTTTTATGATCAAGAAGCCAAAACAGATCAAGACATAGAGATTGAAAAAAAAAGACAATCCTTGGTCCTTGGGACAAAGCTGACTTAGTTTCAAATCACCAATAAAGCAAGTTAGGTCCCAAAAGAAAAAGAGACAACAAGAACAAGCTGAGACCTAGTAACTTAAAGAGATAAGAAAGCTGTGCCTATGCCTTTAAAAAACAACAATTACTCTCAATGGTCTAGTAGTACTAGTACTTACTTAGAATAGAGTTAATTTGCTGCACTTTTGTTTTTCACAGTTTCAGAGATATTCTTGATTTCAATCAAAGACTTTGCAAGAAAAGGAAAAAAAAACAAAATCTTATTTTCAGTGTCATTGTCACGGGTCTGCCATGGTCGGATGGGCTGGAGAGAAACAAAAAATTAAATGGAGATTTCACAGACTCACCTTTGTTCTTCTTCTTCTTTACACATCAAGAATCAAAAAAAAAATCTCAAAGTTAACAAAAAGAAGTTTCCTTTTATTAGCATTTTTAGAAAACAAAACAGGTTTGATTATAATAATAATGCTAATGAGAGTTCATAATTAAACAATTAGCAAAAGAAAAAAATGGAGATTTTAGCAGATTCATCTGTTTCCTATATGGGAAGAGACAAAGACGACCACGTGTTTAGAAGAATCAGTGTCTCTCTAACTCTTAGATTAAAATTTGTGAAAAAAATATTTTGCAGTTAATAGTGACAAAAATTATGCAGATTAAAATTAGCAAAAGTGATTAATATATAGTTTATGTTTTGACTATTTGAGAAAAAAATAAAATGAAAACTTGAATATATTTTCTTGGGAAAATAAAGCTCGTGAAACGATAAAATTTGGGATTGAGAAAAAATTAAAAATATGTGTTTTTGTTTATAGTGAGAAGTGAGAAGAATACAATTGTTTTTGTTTTGTTCGTAAGTGAAACCACGACTTGTGTTTCTTATAGAGCAGACAAGTTTTATCGATCGAAACTATTTTTGTTTTGGAATTTTATTAAATTCTGCAGCAAAAAAAAAAAAAAAATCTTTTAAACTTGTTCTTGGCTTCTTCATTATAAAAATCTTTATAAAACGTCAGAAATTGAAACAAGAATTGACAATAAACGTACCAAAACTATTCCAGAAAACATAATTTTTAGTGTATTTTTCTCAGATTGAAAAATCAAGAAAGAAAAAATTAGGGTTTGTAATTTTGGTTAAAATCATCAAATAGGGTTAACAGAGAGAACAAAAAGAAAATAGTAAATCAAATTCGAGAGTCTGACCTTGAAACCAGAGACCGATGAAGAAGGCTTGATCCACAAGTAATCAAAACCTAAGAATTTGTCTATCTTCAACAATTTTTGTATTTTCTGTTTATGTGTGTTTGAAGCTCGTATAGACCAAGAACAAGAGAACAGAGGAATTTTTGTTTCTGATTGTTGTATTTTGGATCGTTGACAAGACTTCGGTATTTTTCAAATTTTCAACTTATGTGTTTATATTAGTATTTGTTTTGGGTTATCGTAAAGAGAAAATGTTGTTTTTATATATTCATTTGGTCCTACAAAACATAGTATGATGATAGTGATGGTCACTTTGTCAAATGTTAATATGTTACTATTGCAAGTGTTGATTTATACAAAAGCGGTTTTAAGATAAAAGATTATGCAATGTTTCCTTAACTAACCATATATAGGTGTTTAAAGGTATACAATTTCAAGATCTATGATTTTGACATATTTGTTAGATATTGAAAAGTGATTCCGTTATATTGTACGAGCGTGTTATTAAAAAAATATCATTAGTATACTTTTTGTTTTGTTAACCATCATTAATCTACTAATACTAGTTTTTAATGAGCATTTTGTGATAATTTCTTTAAAAACTTATATATCTAGTAAATTGATCCCGCTATTTGATCATTTGATTATTCCGCTATTATTATTTTATATATTTATGTATTCCTTTATTATACTATTAAGCTGATATACTAGGCAAACCATAATTAAGAAAACAATTTTATTGTATTATCACTTATTAATAATTTTATATATTTTTATTGGTCAATACATTAAAACAATAAGGATTAAACTAGATTTTTATGTTGAAAAACAAGAAAAATAAAAAGAAACTGAGTCTTTATTTACCAAAAAAAACTGGATTGAAAACTTAAAACTACACTTACAAAAAAACTTGAATTGTATTTGACTATATATATTCTAATACATGGAGGAACACAAAATTGCAGAAATCTAACATAGATTCATGTATAATGTTGGAAACTCCACAAATAATTTTATTTTAGATGCTTCAACAACTTTATAGTTGATCATAATATATATACTGAAAAATAATAGTCTAAAAAACGTTTAACTTAATTAACGACTTATTTTGTATTGAACAACATAGGATTCCATCGTCGTAACAAAAATCTTTTGTTCTCAAAAAGGTTTTAATTTTCTTTCTTCTTACTCTTCTTAAGTGGAGAGAAGATAATTCCTCCCCTTTACGGCTTAACCAATTTCTTTTTCCCTTACTTCATTTTTTGGTTAAGTTCTATATAAGTCACCAAATCAAACTCACAGTTTAAGTGTTTTAAGAAAATATGCATAAGTATATGTATACCGATAATAACCTTATTCATTTACACATGTTCATGTAACCATAGGAAAAATATAGTGAAAAAGAAACCAATATATTCTATGTATTCAAAAAAGTTACAGGGAAGGCGACTAAATGAAACGGGTTAACATTATTGCATCCGAGCGTTAGCACGAGTTATCAATTTAGTAAATTATAGGAAAAAAGAGATAAGAATTGAGATAGAAGTAAAAAATGGGAATTTTAGTTAAATAAAGCCAGAAGCACTAATGAGTAGTGTGGTACACTAGCATTGCATGTAACAAACTCGTAAGTTAAGTAAAACACGAGCTTACCTAACCACACTCACGAATATGATGCATAAGAGTGATAACGACGCTACATAATGTAACGAAGTAATGTATATATATAGCCAGAAAAAAAAAACTAAGTAATGTATTTAGCCAAAAGAAGAATGTAATGTATATAATGATTGGTTGTATATAAGATAATAATTACGAATATTATTGGAAACCATCTCAAAATTTTAAAATGCCGAAAGTGAAAGATAAGTTAGAATTAGTCAATTGCATTGGTTCTTGGCGTTAGGTGATGTTAAGTATATAAGCAAAGGAAAGACCAAATGATTAGCATTCATGTGCTTAGCATGATTATACTGTGACCACCATTTTTATTGCATATGCCATGCTTCTCCTATGTTTCCATCCCTTTAATTTTCTCTTTTAAGTTATTGGATCTATAGTTTTCATAATATCATTTAAGGTCCAAAATTGTCTTGTCCAATTCGTTTACATTGTTAGGAATTGTTATTCTTTGTAATGAATTTTTAAGAAATTAAGAGAATTGTGGCGAGACTATATGTTAAATGCACAAAACATAGAAGATAATTCATGTTGAGAGAGTTAGTACTCCCTCTGTTTCACAAAACGTGTCATTCTATAGTTTTTTAATTGTTTAACAAAGAATGTTACTCTACAATTCCGATATCTTTTTACACTAAATTTCTTAATTTACCTTTAAACCCAAAAGTCATTTTTATTGTATTTAAATCATTAATTTGTTATTTAATAGGGGTAAGTAACATGTATAATTATACATTTTTTAATATGTGTGAATTATGTCAAAATGACACTCTTTGTGAAATAAAGGAAGTATACGAGTTCTCTGTGTTTCAATTTGAGGAGAAAACAAACTGTCCTTATATTAACTAAAAAGAAAAATGAAGTTGACATAGGATTCCATACAAGCAAATCCTCAATCACAAGGAACTTGAGATTGTTGTGAACGAGACATATCAACGGATCTAATGTGATGTTGGAAGATCTTGTCTCCACAAGGGAGTTCATCAATTTTTTTTTTTTTTTAAATCAGTTCTAAATCCAAAAACCATTCATAGTTAACATATGACACCTATATTGGAACGTTAACAATCTATGTTTTTTTTTTTGAGGAAATGAATTTGACTCCATAACTTGTGAGGATCTGAAAAAGGAAATGATATACATATACCACAACTTGATGATGATATGTGCCAAGGTTCTCACGCAGCAAAAACTATCGACTTGGTTGTTCATGATATGCTTAAAGCTTCTTTTTAAGTCATTTCATATAACATAAAGTATAAATCTTTTCCTAAGCTCTAATTAAGACTCTATGGATCACGCTTTGGCATATGAGAATTTAGCGAGAACCGAGGAATTCGATTAGAGATTTGAGGAGGAATAGTATCATGTGAATCAGATTTTTGAGCTTTGTGACGAGCAGAGAGGTGCTCAAGCATGTCATAGTAATACAATAACTCCAAGGTTTATACTATGAAAAAGAGGAAATATGTATCTAAATCCATTTTTAACCCTTTGTTACACCTTTTGCATGCATCATGATGAGTGAAAAAAAAAATATATATATCGATTTATTTTCTTTACTTTTGTTATTGGAATACTTATTTAAGGATTATACAAGTTAAAAATTACGACACTAAAAACAGTTTAGTTGTTCAATTGAGCATGGCTTGTTCAAAGATTTGTTTCTTTCTTGGTTTGCAACAACAACTCGACTTGGTTCTAAAAGCTGCACAAGTCCCATCTTTATAACCTTTTGAAATGCAAAGCTGTTGGCAATTGTTAGTGCACGGTCCATAACAATCTGCATCAACGGTGATAGCGTTTGCTTGTTCTACACATAAAGAAACAACACAGTAAAAAGTCAAGTTAGAAACAAATAAAAATGTTAAAAACTTAGCTAAGAAAGCATTTCGAATAACTAAGAATGCTTGATTAACCTGCCATGACCAACATCAAAATTATTGTGATGGTACCAACAACATCTAAACATCTGATCTTGGCCATATTTTGTTTATGAAGTATTGTTTTGTATGGTAACGTGTTGTAAATATTTTCTTATGTTTTGATGTTGATGGATTTTAATTGTTGAGATATCTAACAGGTCTTTATATAGTTTGATTGGTGATAGAAATTCATAAATAAAATAAAGAAAAGATACCATAATCCAAATTAATTTTCTTGAAATAATTAATTTTATTATAAATGATTTTTTTACACATTTGACAAAAAAAACTTATTACCTAGTGGATTAGGAGGAACTAAATTCTAGGATGAGATAAAATGAATTATTGTATATATAGATATAAACCTTACTTTGGCATATAAAAAGGTGATTTAAAATGCTTATAATTGTATCTATAAGGAAACATATATTTCAAAATAATAACTTGATTATATAAGTTTAAAATGAAATAAAATACATTAAAATTTTGTTAAAAAGTGTATTAATTAAGGATGTTCTAAAGAATACCATATCATTTTTAATAAAAAAAAATACAACTTTAACAATTTTATAGAATCTTACGGTATAAAATTTGGTTTCAAAGTTACTAACTCACATGATCACACTAAGTGTCAAGTCTATCCGCTAAGATTTTGACAAGTATAAAAAAAAAATCAACCATTTAAATCTATACATTATGTCAACATAAATATAGAAAAAATCAAATTTAATATCTTATTATCTCTATATATATAGTTAAATCTCTTATCTATATATATATATATATATAGTTAATCTCTTATCTATATAAGAAAAAGGTAAACAAATATCTCCTTCATTCTTAACTAATTTTAGAATAAAAAAAATACATAAGTAAAAAGAAACAAAGATAAAATAAAATTATTTGTTTTTAATTAAATAAAAGTCAAATATAATGAAATAAATAAATTATATTCAAACAGAAATACCAAATTTAAGTTCCTTAAAGTTTCACATGTCAAGTTTCATTATATTCATGGTGTAATGCCCTAATTGAGTTGTTTATTATGTGAACTGCTATATTCCGGTGAATAATTTTCTTGTTTGGCTTCAAACACAGGCTTCATGTATATCTTTAATTAATTTCTTCAAATTACTCCACCAGCTTTCGCTCATAATCTCACGACTACCGCTGATTACATTATGCTCGACGTCAATATTGGTGCAACGTCTGGTGTGATCATTACTATGTCATATATACTTTAGATAACAAAAGAACATGAAGAAAAGAATCTCAAATACAATATTGAATATGATTACAAGAGAGAGACATATTGCTATTAGTTTTGGGAGCCAATCGAGTGAAGTTGTGTGCTCTCAACACATTCAATCTAGGTTAGTATATCATTAATCAGATATTAGTGAAAAAGTTTAATTATAAGAAAAAAATAGTTTAATTACATATAAGAAACAAAATTTGTAGGCGGATGTAGGAAAATTAGCAAATATAATGTATATAGAAATTAATTTTTATCTTGTATATAAAAAAAATTATAAATATTATTAATAAAATATTATGATATCATCATTTTTGGTTTTGATTATACTGTATGTACTGAAACTGTTATCAAATTATGTAAATTGGGAAAAAAAAAAAAAAAAAAAAAAAAAAAGAACCATTTCCGTATTACGCACACTTGGCCAAGCGGTCCAATCCGAGCAAAACCAACAATTCCGGTTATCACATCAATCTAAACCAGAATAAACCGGATTTCACATCATCCGTTCACTCTCTTCCTCTCTCTTAAGGCGAAAAGAAAGCTTATCTTCTTCATCATCTCTTCTCTTCTTCCTCAATCGAAGCGAGTGCAAAAGATAAAACAAAAGTCGCCGAGAGCACAAACACTAATGGCTTCTCTCTCTATGGCTTCCGTTAACGTTAGCTTCTCTCATCCTCTACGCTCTTCGTCTCCAAAAGTTTCACTTCGCAGTTCCGTTCAATTCGCGACGAGTCTTTCTTCAAGTCACTCCATTTCTGGGCTTCGCGCTGTTTTGCCTCAGAAGATTTCAATTGTTGCTTCTCCCAATTCCCAAAAGCTTCAGACTTTTACAGTTTTCGCTCATAAGGGATACAAACTGAAGACCCACAAGGTCCTTTTCCCTATCCCTCTCTCTCTTTCTATGCAATTTGTGTCTTTTGTTATAGTGGAGATGAAACTGAAATGAGGTACCACGATTTGGAGAGTTTAGTGGTGGAAATTGGAATCAATAGCTTCGAAAGTTTAGATTTTTCTTGGGTTCAATGGGTTATTCTTGTGTCTATTGGTGTCATAGTGATAGAGACTTAAGAGTCTTTCTGGTGAAGTTTGGGATTTTTGAAACTGTGAACTTCATGTTAGCTTTAGAAGGTTTTAGTTGTTGAAGTAATGGTGTTTACTTATCTTGATTTAGTCTTTGGTTGAATGAAATTAAGAAAATGTGTAATACTACGCTTTGGAGAGTTTAGTGGCGGAAATTAGAATCAATAGCTTCGAAAGTTTAGATTTTTCTTGTGTTCAATGGTTACTCTTGTGTCTATTGGTGTTAATGTGATAGAGACTTAAGAGTATATCTGGTGAAGTTTGGGATTCTTGAAACTGTGAACTTCATGTTAGCTTTATTTGTTGAAGTAAAGGTGTTTGCTTTTCTTGATTTCTGTTTAAGTCTTTGGTTGAATGAAATTATGAAAATGTGTAATGTTTTGTTGATAGGCCTCAGCGAAGCGATTCAGGGTGACGGGTAAGGGGAAGATTGTGAGGAGGAGATCCGGAAAGCAGCATTTGTTAGCTAAGAAGAACAACAAGAGGAAATTGCGTCTATCGAAAATGGTTGGTGTTTCTTTAACAAAGGATTGTTGATTCTGCATATTGTTGATGGGTGTTTGTTATGAGTGTGTGTAAAATTGCATTCATCTCTTTCAAGCATTAGTGATTAGCTGTCAGTGAATTTTGTTGATGTTTTAGCATTAGGTGTGATACGGTTTGAAAAGAACAAGCTCTTAGCTAGCATAGAATGATGATAGAGCAGGCACAAAAACTCATATTTTTCAAGCTAGTTATGAAGGATGAGACTTGGCTGATAATGTCTTGGTAGTAAATGCACAGTTTTGTTTGTCAAACCGCGTCTTTACTTGTACATTTGACTCTTTGAGTCTCTCGCTGAATCTCTTTAAATGAAGATTGAAGCCTTTGAATGGAAACCATGACAATGAAATTCACTGCATTGGCTTCCATTAGACATGTGATTTAGGGAGAAATAACTTAGTTGGCATCAGTTTTATGGATTCTGAATCTTCCTAGTGTATGAGTACAACTTCAAGTCATTACTTAGTTTTTAGCTTTGTTTCATTAGCAACGTCACTCCTCTGTTTCTTACCCTCTTCTTTTGTACATGTCTAACTTTGTGTTCTGTCTTCTGTAATACAGACCGAAGTGAACCGGAGCGACTACGACAACGTGATCGGAGCTCTCCCCTACTTGAAAGTCAACCGAAAGGCTACTTAAGCAGAGCCGGATAGATCCTTTTCTTACCTGCATTTCTCATTTTGTAATCTAAGTTGTGGTAATATCCATCCTTTTGTATTGTGATATAATTTGGTCAATGAGTTGATTTTGTTTCGTAGTTTGTGTCTTCTTTTTCTTTGTCTGGCATGACAAAACTATTCCTAGGGTGTAAACAAGGAGGTTGGTCATGGATCAATGATTGAGTTGAGAAATCAGAAAGACAAAGATGTATTAGAAGACTTCAAATTATTATAATCACACCAATCTCATTCATAACTCTTTTCAACTCTCAAGTCTCAAACCCCAATCTTGTTTAATCATAGAGATAATTGCGGCTGAGACAGTGACTCTCTAGCTACTAGCCTACTACTGCTGTGACAACGAGAGTTCATTAGGAAAAAAAAAAAAAAAATAGAAAAATCAGTGTGTAATGTTACAAATTATTATGACATTGCAACAACTCTATTACAAAATTTATTAAATAGAAAAATCAATTTGTAATGTTACAAATTATTATGACATTGCAACAACACTATTACAAATTTTATTAAACTATAAATCTCCGTGAATATTTTATTATATCTATCAATGTTATTAAATTTATAAAAATCCTAAAATCAACATTTAAAATATTTTTTAACAAAGAATCTTTAATTTTAAAAATCCAGTAATACTAAATTACAATAATTTTAATAATCTATTAATAAAAAATTTAAACCTTTTCTAAAGAGACAAAACAGAAAAAGGTGATTGAAAGCTAATGGTGATGTGTAACCACATTACTAAACATAAATTCTAAAATTAAGATATTTTTATATATTTAACTATAAACTTATAGAAAAAGTTACTAATGCTTGGTGCTAAATCTATCCATTAGAACATAACCCAATTTTATAATTTTTTATATAATATGGTGTCGAGTGACGACAAAAACAGACGAAAACCAAACAGAGAGACCATTTTAGTTTTTAGATAAGAAGCTAGTGTCCGAATAATACGACACGTGGCGAATTGTCCATCTATAGCCGTCATTAAAAAAGGCAAAACATAGGACCCCGAAACAGCCTAGCTCAACCAAGTATTGAAAAAAATAAGAAATGACAAAAATAGCCTCCTATGTAAAGACATGATCAAAAGGCCATTTTGGGTATTTTCTAGAAACTCTTTTTTTTTTTTTTATATATATATATATTATAAATAAATCTGTCAAGAGCGCGTGACACATCAATCGCGATATTTCTTCGTCTCTTTTTAGATCTTCAAAATCAAAATTCGTTACTCTGTACTGTTTTATAGATTCTTCCATAGATTTTTAATAGATTCACTTGTTGTGATCAGATTCTGTGATTTTTGAATGGTTGAAATGATGATGAGACGAGCTTCGAAGTTTCCTGTGAAGCTAGAGATCGCTGAAGATTCTCTTGAAGAAGAATATTCTCCTCTTCACAAACGTGCTAAGGTTTTGATCTGTTTTGATTTCGTATGTTTCTAAGCAACAAGATTACATTTTTTTGGTAATTTGATTGTGAAAGTTTGGATTTTTTTGGTGGGTTTGATTTGGATTCAGCTATGGAGCAATGGAACAGGCGTGTCTAAGTTTAACTTACTTGAGGAGCCAAGTCCTTTGGGGTTGAGTTTAAGAAAAAGCCCATCTTTGCAAGAATTGATTCAGATGAGGCTTTCTCAAACTGGTGACGACACAAACTCGGAAACTGGTTGTGTTAAGAGAGAAAGTTTTGGTTTTGGTGTAGGAACCGTTGAGAAGCATAAAGCTTCTAACTTTCATGCTACAGTTCTCAGGATTGGTCAATGGGAGGTGAGTCTTTCGAATTTTTGTGTGTTAAGATGGTTTGTTTTGGTATCTAAGTTTGATTTTTGTTTGTTTAGTATAAGGCAAAGAATGATGGTGATTTGATGGCGAAATGTTACTTTGCAAAACACAAACTTGTGTGGGAAGTGTTGGAACAAGGTCTTAAGAGCAAGATTGAGATTCAGTGGTCTGATATTATGGCTCTTAATGCTAATTTGCCGGAAGATGAACCTGGAACGTTGAGCATCGTGGTATAAAACTGCTTCTTTCTTGATTGATTCATTCAACTGTTCTTAATGTGCCAATGGTGTTTATTTATGATCTTTGTCTGTTGCAGCTGGCTAGACAGCCGTTGTTTTTTAGGGAGATTAATCCGCAGCCTAGAAAGCATACTTTGTGGCAGGCGACTTCAGATTTTACTGATGGTCAAGCCAGTATGAACAGGTAACAACATGTCCTGTGGCCTAGTTCTAATTAAAGAACTTCAATATGTTATGACTCCAAGTAACAATGGTTTATGTATCTTTGTGGTATGGTAGGCAACATTTTCTGCAATGTGCCCCAGGGATACTGGACAAACATTTCGAGAAGCTTGTCCAATGTGATCATCGCCTGTTCTGTCTTAGTCGACAGCCAGAGATGAATTTGGCCTCACCGTTCTTTGATTCAAGACAATCTATATTTGAGGATCCCTCCATGTTTGGATCTGATAATATGGCATCTCCTGTTGGGGCGCAGTCATCATCAGAACTTGTGTCTCTTTCTCATGATGCACTATCTCCTAGCTCAGGTATTGTGTTTTTGTTTTCACTATCTTTCATAATCATTTCTCTTTTCTTGTGTTCATAAGTCTTTTATTTATGTTTAGTGATGGATGCACATGCAATCGAAGGAGTTGGTGCATCCGTTGATTCGGGAAACAAAAACAGTTGGAGTCAGATAAAAGTGCCTGGCCTACCCCAATCTATCTCGATGAACGATTTCCTTGCACTATTGTCTGATCAAGGTGTTGAGAACAACCAAGAATTTGAGGAAATGAAACAGTTGCTGCTAAGTGACACCCTGCCTGACACATCTGATGAGAAGTCTGTCATGTCAAAGGTGAATTCTTTCTGCAACCTCTTGCAATCTGCTGCAAACTCTCAGCTCAATATCGAAACTGCTGATACCGGTAAAGATATTTGGATCGAAGGAGGCAAAAGAGTTGTTGATCCTGCTTCAAGCAGCAAGCCACTACAGGGCATGTCAAGGAAAGACTCGTTCAGTGATTTGTTGGTGCACCTTCCTCGGATCACATCTCTCCCAAAGTTCTTGTTCAACATTTCAGAAGAAGACTAGTAGATAGAAAAAACCGAAAAGTTCTTGTTCTAGGGATCTTGAACAAGTAGCTGTAAATCAAATTATCTTTCGCGGTGAGCAAAAGAATTTGTGCTCTTGTTCTTAAGGATTTGGAGGAACTTTTGTGTTTGATGATGAATCCTTGTAAAGAAGACCTTTTATGATGGCGTTTTTTAAAAGCCATTTTGTTTGAAAACTTTAATACTGCTTTCATCCTAAGCTCATAGAGTTTGAAATGAGATTGATGAATCATGGTTTATGATTGGATTGATGAACTTGAGTTTGGTTAGGACTTATGTCCCTATAGAAAACAAAAGCACGAAGTAGACGCCACTACATAGTTACATATGCATATTTCTAAATGTCCTGTAAACTATCCCTAAGTATTGTCATCACATAAGTATTGTCATCACATAAGTATTGTCATCACAACACAACACACTTGCCTTTTTCACAGAGTTTGAATTGGGACTGATGGATTTGATGTACCACAGTTTGATATGGGCTTTATATTACATATAGTCCAACTTAATAGTGAACTCTTCGCTTCCCCAAAAAACCATTTGCCTTCCCCAAGCGTTTAATCTCCCTTAGTGTATTATTTAATGGAGGAGATGACTCGAGACACTTCTCACTAGGCTTTATATATTTCATCTTTAGCATGAAAGATTCATAGTCTCAAAATCCTATTCTATTTGATTTCTTTTGTCTGATAAAAAAAGTGCTACAGAAGGAAGATTATTAGAGAGTTTCAGAAACTCAAGATGGGTAAGAGGAGATTAGAAGTGAAACATCTAAACAAGTGGTTTTGAATGCACTTTGTAGCCCAAAACACATGTAGTGTTACACTTCTTATATCCTCATACTCGTCTTGAGTTTCTATGACTCTCCCCGTTCGTAACATCAGCATGGTTTACCACAGTCAAGATGATGATATGGTTGCTCAGGCTAAAGAGATGCAAGGAAGTCGCTGATTTGATCAAAGATCACGAAATATTCAAAGGTTACAAACATCGAAGACATGTTTTGGCATAGCAAGCAGTAGAAGGATTTCACAAACAGTAACGTAAAGATCCTTTTATAAGTTTCTTCACCTCTAATAATTCTTAAAAAAAAATCACAAATGTAATTATGTAAACATGTTATCTACTAGACAAAAGCCTAAGATCGCATAATACAAATACAGAAACAGAATTACACAAACACATAACAAAAGGAGATACATGACGGAAGGAGGGAAAAGAGTTGTTGATCTTGCTTCAAGCAGCAAGCCTTGTCTTGTTCTTGTTCAACATTTCAGAAGGAGACTTGTAGATAGTAAAACCCAAAAGTTCTTGTTCTAGGGATCTGTGAATCATATTATCTTACTCGGGGAGCAGGAGAATTCAGCTCTTGTTCGTAAGGATTTGGAGTAACTTTTTGTGTTTGATGCTGAATCCTTGTAAAGAAGAGCTTTTCTAAAAGCCATTTTGTTTGTAAACATTAATATTGCTTTTATCCTAAGCTCGTGTTCTTTGCTAATCCCGAAAAATATGGCTTCTACTACACAAGACAACACACTTGCCTCTTTTTCATAGAGTTTGAAATGTGATTCATGAATTATGGTTCGCGACTGGATTGATGAACTTGAGTTTGGTATTGCTTTTTATGTCTCCGTCAAAAGGGGAAAATGATTGTCTACTACAAAAATATCTTGTAAACTACCCTTAAATATTATCATAAGGAGTTAAGGACATATCCGAACAAACTTAACTACTTAAGTCATGATGCAACACCGGTCAACTTTGGTCAACATAACTTATGTTTGTTCTAGGATGTCCTATTGTGAATATGTGATGACTATTTTTGGTGTATTAATAAGACGTTTTATGAAGTCTATGGTGCTGGTTGGAATCTTGTCTTGGATCAATCCTGCACAAGAGAAATATATGTGAAGAAGAGAGTTATTAGAAGAAGCTACAACTAGATATAGAAAGAAGGAACAACATCAACTAGGAAAGAAGAAGTATTTTGTATTGTAAAGGAAGAAGAAGAAAGAACGAAACAAAAAAGGCCTATGGACTATTATTTTAGTGCAAGCCCATATATGTTAATGGATCATTTTGTGGTAAGAGAATAATTACGCAACAATTAGGTTAAAGTAAAATCTAGTATAAATATGTAAAGATGTGGTAATAAAAAGCAGAATTCTTTAGTAGTGGCGTCTACTCCGTGTAGCGGCCAATCATTTTTTGGTTTTACATATTGAATCTTTGCATGAAAGGTTCTTTGTCTCAAAATCATAATTGATTTCCTGTGTGTAACTAAAGTCTCAGATACTCAAGAAGGTTACGAGGATATTCGAATTGAATCATCGAAACAAGTGGTTTTGAATGCACATGTTTATGGTTTGTGGATCAGGCATGGAGCATGGTGTACCCAAAACACATGTCCCTTGTTTCAATTCTTATTTCCTCGTAATTCTCTTGGGTTTCTTTGACTCTCTGCTTGTAACATGAGCATCATTTACCACAAGGGATCAAGATGATTTTGGTTCACATATAAGCCTTATCTTTGGCCGTTCCAAAAGTGATTACAAAAACAAAGTTGTGACAATATTTAATGGAGGTAAATCTATGAAATTGAGTTTGGTACTTGCAGGAATCGATTAGGTTCATAGTTTTGTGGACAGGTTCTTAGTTAAACACTCTGTCCGAACTCTCCTAGTAATCTTTCAAGCTTCTCCACTGAGATTTCCTACGAGCCTCGCAAGATGTTGTAATTTTTTTTTTTTTTGAATCTAATGTTAAATTATATTCAAAATAAAAATAACGTTTTTACAACAAGTGCAACTTTTTCTTAAAAGTTAAGCTGAAAAACATTTTTGAGCTCTAAAACAGAAAAATGGTTAAATGCGAGATTGGAGCCACCGTTGGAAACTGTCGGCATATCTTCATATCTTCTATTTGCAGCTACAACTATCTTTCTATTGAAGGATTATTCAACAAAATTGTATTTCACTCATGAACATAATCATATACTGGGAAGTCACAGCTAAGAGAGCCTTCCTCTGAGTGTAGAAGTGCAAGACAAACATCACAAAAATAACAAGGATTCTCATGTGCCCACTTGTTATCCACTGCAACCTTTGAAGCTCTTTTTATCTTACAAACGCCGCATTTCTGAAACTTGGGCTTCGGTCGAAACACGATCGGGTAAGCCGCTCTGCTCTGAACATCCTCTGGATGACTCAGTCTCATGTCTCGTATTATTATCATGTGCTTGCAATCTCCCTGTTCTCAGCTTAATCAGTACATAACCTTGTGCTGTGCAAAACGTCATCGTAGGATGAGAAGTAAAGAAACAGAAAAGGGATTTTACCTGATGACAATAGAGATAACTAGCTCCGACTCGGAATCTTAAGTCACAGAAGCGTGTACTCTGCATGTCTGCAGTTCTGAAACGAGGTATATCCATGGAGTTCCCTTCACCTAGAACCGCTTTCTGATTTTTATGCAATTCGCCGGTTAAAAGGCATTCCCATTTTTTAAGAGCTTCATCTTTCGAGTTCCATATCCATTCTAAAATAGGATAGCTTAAATCTGTCGCCGATGGATTCCTTAAATCATTGTGAAAGACATCCTAGACAAGCAAAAAAGCAACTGATTAAATCGGAGAAGTAGAAATTTAAACTTTACTTACTCATCAAAATATAAGAATATGAACAGATGAATTCTTACTTCTATGAGGAAGTATCCAGAGGGGTTATACTCTCCAGCCTTTTTCATCACCTGGTCTGTAGGACAGTGAATCTTGTCTTTCAATTCAGTCAACATTTGACGTCCTAGAACCAAAATTTCCTGGGTCTGAACAAAAGAATTTACAAAAATTGTAGTAGTTAGCACAATCCAGTCAATGTTATGCCTCTTATGTTTAATTTTCTGTATCGAAACCGAACAAGACTTTGATTTCTTCAAAAATTATGCAGAGTGCATCAAAGGTTTTACAGAATAATGCAGTACCTTAACCTTACGACTGTTATAAATCTCAACACACAAAATGACTTCAGGAAATAGCGTTTCAACTTGTCCCTGAATGTCTGATGGCTTCACTTGCTGTTTACATAGCACGAAGACAATATTTAGTAGGGGGCATGGCATGATGGGTTAAAAAGATGTTTGGAGTAGCATAGTCAATACTAAACAAAATTGCAGGAGAAAATAACTTGCCGTGTAATTGTTATCTATGAACTTAAGAGATTGCATCTGCTCATAACCGTCTGGAGGTGCAGCTGCGTCTTTACCAGTTTCACAAGTTTTTCTGAACAAAAGTTAAAATCGAAGAAACATAAGCATAAAGCAGACAAGGTACACCAGCAAACCAGAATATCCAATAGTAATCACAGACCTGAAGCAGTGCAGCCTAACAGCTGCCTTATCCTCCTCCTGCTTTTGTTTGATTTTCGCAAGCTGCTCGACTTTAGCAAGATAAGCTTCCTGAAACCAAAAATATGACCATATCAATCAGAAAAGGAAATGCAAAAAGCTAATAACCATCAGCTTGACTACTCCAACCATCATTCCTTGTTGAACCAAGGCAGTACACTAGTAAAATCCATGTATATTTGGTATCCAGTGATACTAAACACATATAGATATGGAAAGAAACTAATTCCAGCCGTGCCAAGACCATGTTACATAAACTCACCTCAGTCTTTTTTTCTGTCCACTTCTTTACCTCAGACTTCTTTACAGTCTTCTTCCTTTTTGCCCTCCCAGCTGATGGATTTTCACTACAGGAGACAGGAGAGGTAACAGTTTGTTATCATTCTACAATTGTATAAGTCAACCTACATGCCAATTGTATATTTCTACAAAGAGTCACACAAGACGGAGCATTATATTTAAAAATACAGATAGTCTGGAAATGATACTTACTGATGAGAAGTGTTTAAAGATTGTTCGAGCTCCTTTTGGGAAAGGTTATCTTCCTGTAATGAAATAAGAACCAACCTCATCAAGACCTAAGATCTCACACTCCAAAGACAGCAAAATAAGAATACAAATCAATATAGGATTTGGAAACATACCGACAAGGCTTCCTTCATAGCCATCTCTGTGAGTTCTTCATCTGTATAAATCTTGAGATCATCAGTTCTGCATCAAAATCCTCCCAGTAACATACATTTATGTATTTTTCCTCATGGAAACCAGATTTTAAAAAAGAAAAGAGCCAATTGATGAAGGAATACTTACGAGACATCATATTGCTGCGACGATGAAGGAGATTCCACAGATAAATGAGTATCCAAATCCTGGAGTAGACTGAGAAAAGAAGACCGGAATTCAGGGATAGTAGAAATATTTCCCACCATGTTTGGCAGATAAATGGGGCCTCCTCTGGGTACTACTGAAGTGGTTTGGCAATGCTCACTTCTCTCGTTCTCGCTCTCACTATCGCTCTCCATTTCTTCTCTCTTCTTCTTGACTATCTCTCTCTCTCTCTCTGTTACCACCTAATGTACCAAACAAACACCATAAGTACAGTATTTTACAAACCACAACAAAAGAAAAGTCAATAGTTTTCATAGAAAGAAGAGATATGTAACACAAAGCATGACTTTACAAGAGTTTTCTTAGCAGTGGACATGAGAATAGATCAAGGAAATGACAAGTCAAGATATCACTGAATAACAATTCAAGCTCATAAACAACCATTAGCATAATTCACAATGCCAATGTCACCAAATTACTAAGAAAACAAGAAAGCAAAAGAAAGCAAACAAGAGATGCAAACAGTTTCATCATCACTACAAACCTGAAACAAGAACTCCCTAAACATGATTAGAGTCCGAAACATGTAACATGTTATCTACTAGAGTACTAGAGAAAGCCTTAGATCAGAGAATACACATACAGAAACAGTATTACAAATAACTCATTCCAATTTCAGAAACCATATTGGGGAAAAAGAAATGGTACGTGAGGTCAAATGCAAGGTTATATTCATTGCAGGGGAATCAGCCTCATCTTTATACAGTTCAGCAAAACAAAGAGAAGGGAAATAAATTAATCAAGACGTTCTGCTTATAACAAGGCTTACCAGTTCTTAAGTACCACAACCAAACATTAAATTAATTAATTAAACCAAACATCAGAAAGACATATAAAACTAACAACAAGAAAAGGGTTTTAAAAGAACTAACCAGAGGAGAAAAGGGTTGCCTCAGATCTCCCCAAAGATTGCAACTTTGTGAGCAGAGAGACAGAGTAAAGAAAGTTCCAGATCGGGATCTACACTAGAGCAAAAAAAGCAACAGTTTAGAGTAGGAGGCACAAGTTGGATTTCATAAACAAGAACCATTAGCAAAGGCATAAACTAAAAAGGCATATCAAAACATAAAAACCGTGGCAGTAATGACCAAAGAACAACACATGTTTAGTGTTCACAGAATGTGAATCAAACATAGAAACATGTTTAGTGTTTACAGAATTAGAATCACAGAAAAAGAGTCATAAAACAACAACACCTTCAAAGAACAACACATATCCATGAACTTTCAGAGCACAAGAAACGAAACCGTGACAATACTATTTATAAACCAACCAATCTCGTTTAATACAATACTAAAACAAGCAACCAATTCAAAGAATCTATTGAACCATATCCAATTCTCAATTCCAAGAGTAGAGAGTAAAATGTTCAATCTTCACGCTCCATTCAACTAACATTGATGCAACTATCAAATCTAACAAACACCCACGACCAATTCATACCTTCAGATTAAGAATATGAAATCAAAATATCAAATTTGCAAAGAAAGGGTGTGTTGACACAAAGGATGGGAGAAGAGGAGACGACACACACCCTACCGGAGATCTCAGAACACAAATTAGAGAAGGTAGCAGTGAGGATAGGAGGAGCGCAAGTGATGAGACGGGTAGCAACGGTGATGAGATGATGAACGGTGCTGATGAGAGGAGGACCAAAGTTGAGGAAAAGAGGAACGGCGGTGAGGAGAGGAGGAACGGCGGTGAAGCGTAAATGGAGCGTGAATGTGTGTGTGTTTAGTTTAAACGACGCCGTTTTGGTTTTAATTGATGTTTACTGTACTGTCCATCTAATTTTGTGAAAGCCCATTTATTAAACGGATGTAAACGGGTTCGTCCATTTATGTCCGATAAGTTTTATAACGAATATGTATGTTAAATGGGCTTAAAATTTTGTGAAGGTCCGTTTAGGTCCAACTAAAATATGTCCATGATAACATTAACATTCCTAAATCCAACTCTTCGCTTCCCCTTTGCCTTTCCTCAAGCGTTTAATCTCCCTCGAAGTATTATTAAATGGAGGAGATGACTCGAGAGACTTCTCTCACTAGGCTTTATATATTTTGATCTTTGGCATCGTCTCAAAATACTAACTATTTGATTTCTTGTGTATAGTTAAAAAAAGTGCTACAAAAGAAGATTGGTCTATGGTGGCGGTTGGAATCTTGTCTTGGATCAATCCTGCACAAGAGAAATCAATGTAAAGAAGAGAGTTATTAGAAGAAACTACAACTAGAAATAGAAAGAAGAACAACATCAAGTAGGAAGAAGAAGTGTTTTGTGTTGTAGAGGAAGAAGAGAAAGAACCCAAAAAGATTGTCAATGGGCCATGATGTTATAGTTTAAGGCCCATATATGTTAATGGGTTATTTTGTTGTAAGAGAAAATAATTACGCAACAACTAGGTTAACGTAAAATCTAGTATAAATATGTAAGGATGTAGTAATAAAAAGCAAACTCCTTTAGTAGTGGCGTCTACTTCGTGTAGCGGCCGATCAATTTTCGGTTTTACATATTGTATCTTTGCATGAAATGTTTTTTGTCTCAAAATCCTTATCTATTTGATTTTCTATGTGTAGTTAAAGTCGCAGAAACTCAAGAATCCTTATCTATTTGATTTCCTGTGTATAATTAAAATCGCAGAAACTCAAGCAGGATACGAGGAGATCGGAATTGAATCATCGAAACAAGTGGTTTTGAATGCACATGTTTATGGTTTGTGGATCAGGCATGGTGTACCCAAAACACATGTCCGTTGTTTCAATTCCTATCTCTTCGTAACTCATCTTGGGTTTCTATGACTCTTTGCTTGTAATATGAGCATCATTCACCACAAGGGATAAGAGGATTTTGGTAAAAGACTTATCTTTGGCCGTTATAAAAGTGATGGAAAAAAACCAAGTCGTGATAATATTTAATGGAGGTCAGTCTATGAAAGTGAGTTTTGAATGAATCGATTAGGTTCATAGTTTAATACTCTGTTAGGACCACAAGTTTTCCTTACAACCGCATTTTAGTTTGATGTGTTTTGAACTTTTGTTCTGTACTTACACAAGACAACACCTTTGCCTTGTCATGTTTAAATTTTTAGCAAGCTCTACACTCTGATTTTGAAACTTTTGACAAAACATAGACAAACATAAAATCATTATAAAATGGTATTTGTAAGAGAGATAGTGTTTGAAGCTAGCACGAATGATATAAAAGACATTTTTCTTGAGGACATGAAAACCAAAATCCACTTATATCGATCGATCCCAACAACTTAAGTAAGTCTCTCTACACTCCAGTGAATGCTTTTTTCCCTATAGCAGAACTCCCAGCTGGTATGACCTTTAGGACGTTAAACCTCACAGTCTTTGACAACGGTCTGAAACAACATTTACGCCAAAAGAATTCTCAATTAGCACATGGATGTCATATGGTAGATGAATTTTTTATCACAGAGATTTATTTCTGTACTCACCTGCATTGCCCAATGATCACATGATCTCCTTCTTTGACACGGAAACACGGTGAGACATGAGCAGGGATGTTCGAATGCCTTTTCTCATACCTAACGATACACCAATGTTAAAGACTATTCTCAAACATGGTCGTGTAGGAGCATAAGGAATTCAACAGCCCTAAAGTAAAGATCTTTTATTCACCTCTGATACTTCTTAACAAAATGAAGATAGTTCCTCCGGACAATGATTGTCCTCTGCATTTTCGCACTGTGGCATGTTCCTGCTAAGATACGGCCTCTAATAGAAACCGTGCCAGTAAATGGACATTTCTTGTCAATGTATGCACCTACACAAAATTCACAAATGTAAACATATCATCTACAAAAGAAAAACCTTAGATCACAAAATACAAATACAGAAAAACACTACACAGACACACATAACTCATTCCAATTGCAGAAACAATATAGGGAAAACTGTAAAAAAGATGACCTTTAATCCAAATTACAACCCAATCTTAACAAAAACACAAGCTTCTACACATCATACAACATTTCAAGTAAAGATTCAAAGAAAAATGTGAAATTTCTACTAGACAAAGCCTCACAGAATACAAATACAGAAACAGTATTACACAAACACATAAATCATTCCAATTTCAGAGACCATACAGGGAGAAGTGTAAAACAATGAACTTTAATCCAAATTACGACACAATCTAAACAACAACACAAGCTTCTACACATCATACAACATTTAAAGTCAAGATTCAAAGACATATGCAACATGTTATCTACTAGACAAAGCCTTAGATCACAGACTACAAAATACAGAAACAGCATTACACAAACACACATTACTCATTCCAATTTCATAAACTATATAGGGAAGAGTGTAAAGAGATGACCTTTAATCCAAACCACAACACAAACCAAACAACAACACATAATAAGTCAATATTCAAAAGACAAATGTGTACCTTCGGTAGCTTCTCTTGGAGTCTTGAAACCAAGACCAATGTTCTTCCAGAAACGATTACCTCCCTTACCAGGTCTCTTGCCTTTACCAGACTTCTTCGAGCTGAGTACAAAACATCAATGAATCGCATAAGACAAGACACTCTAAGAACCCTAGATTACAAAAGATATGTTCTTTTTTTTTGTAAAATGTCACCTCAAGAAGACCTTTGGTTGCTTCAGAAACGCCTTCTCCGTCTACAACACATGAATCCAACATTGTAATATGATAAATTGCATAGATCAGAGAAATTCAGAAACTTTATAGATCCACAATGAGAGAGATTAGGAACCTGCTCCGCCATGGTTGAAGTTGCTACTGGAGAGTGTCCGAGAGAAAAAGCCCTACACCGCTTGTGGGATGAAAGAGGCAAAACCCTAAATCACTTAACCTTAGCAGATCGTAATTATGATAAATGGGCTTTTAGAATCATTATTTAGTATAAGCCCAAACATATCTTTGCCCAAAATTATATTTTATTTAATAAATATAATATTTTTTTGTGTTGATATTTTTTTTTTTTTTGTAAGAAACAGGGAGAAAAGACTCCCTGTATATTATTCAAAAATAAAAAAGAAAATTACACTCGAACTTGCCTTGGAAAACTAGTTCCCCGGGCATCGTCCACAAGAATCGACTCAACATCAACTGGAGTATGTTCTAATAAAAGAAAACCTAAAGGTAAATTAAAACCATAGTTCGCCAAACCATCGGCAAGACGGTTTGCCTCCCTATAAACATGTGAAAAACGGACTATCCAGTCCCTCGAAATAAAGCCGTGGCACAGCCGTACCAGGAACGACAAAGGATGAGACTCCACAACCCCTGACGTTAAAAAACCCACTACTATCTCTGAATCGATCTCAACTTCAAGCCGCGGTATTTTCTTGTCCCAAGCGATGCAAAGGCCGTAGTAAACACCCCAGAGCTCCGCTAAAGGCGCTGTACAAACACCAATATTTAGGGAAAAACCCCCACACCAAGCCCCCGTGTTATCCCGAATACATCCACCAGCTGTGGCCAGACCCGGGTTACCGCGAGACGCACCATCGGTATTAAGCTTCATCCAACTCCCTAATGGTGGATTCCACTTAATATTACGTTCCATTCTCACACACGGGATATTACCCACACGGACAATAGCATGCGCACGGCTAACTTCTCCCGCAAGGTCCTTAACAAACTTGATTCTATCTCGGCATTTACCCACTGCTCCAAAAACATACCCGCACCTCCATTTCCAGCTCCACCATACAACCATGGCAAACAAAGTTGACCATGCATACTCCGCACTCCAATCCGTTCTTCCCAAATTCACGTACAACCATTCAAACAGAGAACTTGAGAAGAAAAACAAACGATGCTCCCTTGGAACCAGACGGGTCCAAATACCCTTAATAGAAGGGCAATCTCGCAAAACATGCATGATGGTCTCCTCACCTCCTTTACAAACCTGGCAAACACTCGAGTCTCCTAGGTGGCGTCTAAACCTCTCCACATTCGTCATAATAACCTGGAGAGCCACCATCCAAAGAAAAGTGCGAACCCTCTCCGGAGCCAATACCTTCCAAATCCGATAAAAAAACCTGGACATATTTGGGCGAGAAGCATGGTCTTTGGTCAAGAGCGAGTAGGCGGAAGCAACCGTGAACTGACCATCCGCTGTTTCT